GAAGGTGCGGACGCATACGAGTCACCATAAGGTCAGCATCAGTCAGCAAACGGCCGGAGGTAATTAACACGTGACCGGCGTGTCGCACGGAGTGATGGGACCGCTTGGGTCAGGTGGTGAAGCGTCGAGGCGACCTATAGGGGCTGGAAAGAGCAAGTGGGAGCGCAAGAGAGTCGTATGGTATATGGTATAGCGGAGGAAAGTGCTGAGCAATCCTGTGGGTAGCGGCGTTTATTTGTTATTTATCTCCGAACGGTCGCAAAGCCATTCCTGTAGTATAAATTGTACAAAGTAGCATACAGAAAAATAAGTTTCGACTTCACCATCTCAGAGAATTAGCGTTACGATCTCAGCGACCCGAGAAGTTCGAAAAGCGTCGAACTTAGCGAATTATAACCGATCCTAGCTTTGCCAATAGGCCTGACTCGTCGAGTGAATTATCTCCGCCATCGATTCATTTAGCTCCGGCGTCAAGGTTTTTGTTTTATTTTTCTAGGTCTTCCTACGGACTACCCTACGGCGTCTTACTCCTCCTTTCCCCCTCGAACTATTAAATACCCTTCAGTTGTCTCGGACCGCCTTCACCCATATCACGGGGTTTAGGTTTATTTCCTTTGGTCCTTGGTGATTGTTGTGTGTCAGTGCATATCAACGCGCCCCTATAATTGCATCGTGGGCTGCTAATATTGCATCTTTCATATTTTGTGCAAATTTGCGAACACCAGGATATTCATTCCGCTTCGAGTTCCATAACATGGCATTCGGCAAGAAGCCATAGTTCAAGAAAAATGGCGAAAATCCGGTGGTGCTCGATCTCGCTGAGTTCAAGGCAAATTCGATAGCTGGTAACTTCAGTGCCCAGTCCTTTTGATCTTCGCCCACGCACTGGCGCAAGCACTGTATCACAGTACGATTAGCCCGTTCTGTGGCTCCGTCTGTTTGTGGATGGTAGGCAGAAGCCATCCTCAATTCCGAGCCAAGCAATTCATGCAGCCGCTTCCAAAACGTGCTCGTAAATAAAGAATCGCGGTCGGATACAATACTCTCCGGTAATCCATGATATTTGTATACACAATCAAATACCAGTTCTGCAATGTCCTTAGCTTTGTAGGTCTGTTTCGTTGGAATTAAATGGACCATGGAAGTCAATCGATCAATCACCACGCAAATCATATCGTAAGTGCCCGTCCGATTGGTTGAGGCAGGCAACGGACCGACAAAATCCAGAGCGATCGCCTGCCAAGGTCGGGAAGGAACTTTGAGGGGACGCAGGAGCCCCATGGGAGATTCATTCGACGCTTTGCTAAGAGCACAGGTGCGACATGAAGCACAGAATGCCTTTGTGTCTGCAACCATATCCCGCCACCATACATTTTCACGCAAATACTGGAGTGTCTTCCGGCCACCTAGATGCGCTAGGATAGAGTGAGCATGACTGATTAGGAGCTCCCTAACCCGCCTGCCATTAATGACTACGTCTGGTATGCATAGGGTGCGACTTCCGTCAGAATCCTTCAACCAGATCAAGTCATCCTCTATATCAAACAGCTTTGTATGAGCTGCAGGTTTCAAGAGAACATCTTTAAAGAATGGATCTTCAGAATATCGTCCTTTGAGATCAGCAGGCAGTGATAGCCCGATCTCGCCCTCCGAAACGACGCGTGTTAATGTCGGTTGATAGGACAGATTCTCATTCTCATTAACCTGGTTTGATGATTGTGGCAGGTCATGGATCTCGACTTGCTCGTGGACTGGAGAACTAGTCCGCGTGTCCGGTCCGTCCGGCAGGCATTCCACTGAAGTACTAGTGTCAGAGATAGGGTCCAATGGCGGAACCCCATCATTCCCATGAGAATCTGACCATCGACGAAACGCGGCACGAACTGCGTCACCTGTCAGTAAGGGTCTGGTCACTGTCGAGGACGAGGCCGGACGAGTGGCATTAAGCTTGACAGAATCACGGTCTAGTCGGTCGTTCTCATCCAGAACATCTTGTGAAACATATTCAGTTTCTGACCTCTGCTTGTCCAGCCCATCATCGCTGTAGATGCGCGATAAAGCGTCGGCGAACACGTTCGTTTCACCCTTGATGTAAATAATCTTAAAATTAAATTCGTTCAGCACGTCGAGCCACCGAAGCTGGCGAGGAGATAATCGACGCTGAGTCATAACATATTCCAACGCCCGATGATCTGTAAATATACGAAAAGCAAGGCCAGTGAGATGTGCACGAAAGCGCTTGAGCGACTCTACAATAGCCAATAGCTCCTGCTCATGGACCGGATAATTCTGCTGCGTAGTCGTGAATTTGCCTGACCAGAATGCGATGACTTTCGCGGTCTGGATTTCCGCCCCCTGACTGACATAGCCACTGGCGCCGGTCATTGACGCATCACAGATTAGGTTGACGGGAGGCGCATCGGGTGTATAGTCAATTGCGTGCCTAGCGTTGTCTCGCCATTTCTGCACGATAGACTTTATTTCATCGAATGCCATCTGTTGAGTGGGGCCCCAGCGCCAAGGTTTATTTTTGCCGGTCAATGGCGATAAGGCACCCATAGGTATCCGCACCCCTAGACAGTCGGGTGCTAGGAAATTCACAGCACCCAAAAATCCTGCTAGAAGCTCCCGAGTTGTAGGGGGCTTCCAATTCGTGATTTTATCGACCTTGTCAGGGTCCATGAATAAGCCATCAGGTGTTATTACATGACCAAGAGCACTGATCCTGTTTGAGAAAAATTTCATTTTGGACGGCTCCAGATACAATTTCTCCTTCCGAAGCACACCAAATACCACCCGGATATGCTCAATATGCTCGTGAATAGAGTCAGAGAAGATGAAGATATCATCAAGATAAACATACATAAATATGCCAATAAAATCACGGAATAAATGGTTCATGAGTGTTTGGTATGTAGCGGTACCATTGCAGTCACCGATTTGCAAAACCAAAGATTCCATGGTGCCGTCAGGTGTTGAAAATAATGTGCGATTGACATGGTCAGGTACGATGCGGATTTGTTCATAAGCATCCTGACCATCCATGGTTGACCGGTATTGGTGTCGTAGAATCTCAGTTAGAATAGACTCGATGTCAGGTAATGGAGAAGAGAGCTTTCGTGTATTTGCGTTGCGGTATCGTAGATCAATGGGAGTCCGTATACGAGGCGAGCCGTCAGGATTCGGCTTAGGCTTCGCAATAACTAACATTGGACAAGCATTGTTCCCCTGGGCAATGCGCCAAATGCCACGATTTAAGTAAAGCTGTTTCTTACGACGAAATGCCTCCTTATACTTTTCTGGGCATCGAGCTGGTTGCCATGGATAAACAACATTCTCATCAAGTAGAGGTATAGTATGATTAACAGCCCTCAGAGGAGGCAAACCAGTACTAGCTATTACCGTCAAGTCTGTAGCCTCCTTGCGAAGCATCTCCCGTATCTTGTCTAATTCTTCCTCTAACGCCATCGTAGCGAGTGAAGGAAGCCGGGATATATTGGTTCCTTGTATAGGCAATGGTGTAGTACTACCAATAAGCAACGAAGGTGGGTTTAGTCCAATTAGAACCCGGTGCTGAAACAGGAAAGGAGTACCAAGAATAACATCATAATCGTCGATGTTAATGATATCAAAACGCTTCTCGCAGTCAATTTGCTCGAACTGGAAACGTGCAGTCGCACAGAAGTTAATCTTGGACCGAGAACCCGTGACAGCAAGCTGGACTGGAAGGGCACGGGCTAGAGGCGCTCGCGACACCTTGATGATATCACCAAATGTTGTCGACATGAAATCGGCCATAGATCCAGAGTCCAGTAACGTACGAGCACTCCGACCATTAACCTTTGTTAATGCGACTATAGGATCCGGAAATAGCCGCTCGAAGTCTCGCGGTCGAGCAGCAGTACGCTCCAATGTTGACCTAGTGTTCTCGTCGGCCAGACTTCGTGATCGCCTGCCGCGGCGGTTTTGAGCCTGAGAGAGATTCACAGGACGGTTAAGGTCCACTGTTGTGAGCGCCGGACGGCCCGTTCGCACCCGAGCAGCAGCCAAACGAACTGCCTGCCACAAAGTTTCGAAGTCGCCGTCCGAGTCAGGGACCGTCGAAATGTCTGCAGTATAACCTACGTCACTGTTATCACTATCCTCATCATCCGAGTAGTGCCTGGTTGAATCTGAGTTGCATTCCCGAGAGTGCCATTCAGCGTGAAAACCAGCAGCTGCCTCTGATATAGAATCTGATACTGTGACGAGAGAAGGCATTGAGCTGTGTACCGACACAGCATCATCATGAATATCACCTTCATCCTGTCCGATGTCATTACCTGATTCTTGTTCCCCAACTGTAACTGTTGAGCGGTCATACGAGCTGGCACCATCCAGAAATTGCTCGAGAGCAAAGCGAGAGTCTGTTGATGACACGACAGAGCATAGTTCTGATAGACAATGCTCAGGGGAAAACCAAAGTGCTGAAAGGTCCTCCGAATAGCTATCAGTAGTCGAATTCAGGCTGTCCGTACTCCCCAAACCTATATGAAGTTCAACTCGACGTGACAAGGTCCTTAGGAACATACGAAACTCGCTGACATAAAACAATGTTAATGGAATCGAGAAACTCGACATACTTTCACGGTCCAGGACCATTATCTCGTCCCTTATTGTATAGAGCCAAAATCTCTCATCCAATTCAAGGATGTCCTGTTCTGCGAGACATTGTGCAGCACCCTCCAGATCTAGTTCGGATTCATTGTTGGAACCAAAGCTACATCCAGAACATTTAAGAACTGCTTCACGCTCCTTTGCGAGGTCTTCAGCACGAGATATGTTAACAGCCGAGGAACGAATTCTGGCATGGGCCGATCTAACTCGAGGCGCCCGAGCCGTATGCCTTTCAGGACAATTGCGGGAGTTGTGGCCCACTTCTCGGCAGTGGAAACACTTACCAGCGCTCCTCAGCTCGTCCATTTCTGCTTGCGTTAGTGATCGGCGCGTAGATGGGCCAGTTTGACGAGCGGTGTGATGGTTAGCGGATAGTTTTTGTCCGCTCTCTTTGCTCGCAGCAGCAGTAATAGGGCCTTGAGTCCGATATTTGTCTCCCGATGATTTTTCATGACTAGTGAAAATAGACGAGCCCGCATTGAACTTCTGTCGCCGTCTCGTGAAATCGCCGCGAGCATCAGCCGCGAGCTCAGACGCCGTCTCAATGTTAATAGCAGCGTCTTCTAACTCCGCAAGTGTCGCTGTCTCCGGATCATAGCCTAGTTTAGCCCATTCCACTCGAATATCACGTCGCGCATTCTCCCAGACCTTGAGCACAAGATGAGCATCAGATATATCCGGAAGGCGTTTGGATAGTTTCTGAAGCTCACGAATGAACTCGCGGAAAGGCCGTTGGCCTTGGAAGCATTTATCATAGCGTTTTCGGAGCTCAGCTTTGAATCTCGTCGGAAAACAGTATGAGAACAAGCCATGGTAGACGGCTTCCTTAGTATATTTGTCTGGATTGTCGGCTATAGAATTCATGAAATAGTCTGCTGCTTTGCCACGCAACCACCGACCAATCATTCTCACTTGCAAACGACGTTTAATCCCTGTACTAGTAAAATAGTTTTCGACTTCGTAGATCCAATGTTCAAACCTATCGTAGTTGGGGGTACCATCCCACTTACTAGGCTCCTCGATGCGAACGCCTCTCGGAAGACGATTGCGGTTACCACGTTTAGCGCGTCGACGTTGACGGAAAAGCTTATGCTTCAACCGTTTGCGTTCTCGAGTCCTGAACGTCGCATCGGATGCGGCCGAGGAGGTGTCACTGAGCGAATCACTCCTCGAGGAGCCATCTGATTCACTAGAGGAGTCGGATGGGTCCGATCCCGGAGGGCCTCCTTCAATGATCCTGTGGACGAAGCCCACATTAGGGATCTGAGACCCAGCTCTTCCTATCTTAGCTTCAGACTTGATGGTTGGAACTGCTTTCGCTTCGCGGGCAATGGAAGTCGGATTCACCGCCACACGGTGATCATCAGCCTTTCGCTTCCCCTTGTCAACATGCAGCTGGGGTACGATGTCGGCGAGAGGCATAGCTCTGAGAACATTGGCATTAGAAGGTGCCCGGGTAGTTGTAGGATCATCACCGTCAGTGAGAAGGGGAGAGGCTTTGTCGCCCTCCGCACGAACTGATATCGGCTGTCCGTTGTTACCAGCGATGGTCCCGGTTCTCTTAGATTGCAACAGATGGTAATCAAGTAATTCATACCGTTGCTTGGGGTCCTCAATACCCTTCAATATATCAAACAAAAGATTCGGATGTACTTCAGCATCCTTAATCCATTCTGCAGGAACCCCTCCGCCGACGTTGTCATCATCCTCACTGCTCTCTGCCCAATCGACATGTCGAAGTGTGAACGACGGTGTCCCGGACTTGGGCGGAGTAGCTGGTGGAGTAACGACAGCACTCCCATTGGGTCCGATGTCGCCCGAAGAGGAGACCCGATGCTGTACAGCAGCGCGCGCCTCATTCTGCTGGTTATTCTCTCGAGCACTTGAGTTAGTAGTCTGCTCTCCATCGACGCGGCCATTCATAGGCGCGGATGTCTGCTCAACGCTCACATCTGCATCTCCAGGTGCAGGGGCGGAGACTATTTCCTCGACGCTCGCAATAGCGGCGGAGACATCAGGTGAATCGTGCAACTCACCTGGCACGGTACGACGAGAGACAGATCTCGTCTTCCTAGTTCCAGTAGCCGGCATTGTAGTTTCCGTAGGTATACCTGTAAGCACCAACGACTAACGATACACGGGTGATCAGTCCGCAACGTCGTCGCAGTTAGTCGCGAAAAGAAGAATGTGGTGAAAAAATGTTAAGACTCAGCTAAGCGGACTTAGAAGTTCTTAACGAGAGTTGCTCAACGACGAAGCTAGAGTTCACGCGAGGTAAAACACCAGGTAATCTCGTAGATTCGCAGAATCCGAACAACTAGTGTACAACGAGTAGAGACGAGTCTTATATACCAAGCTACAATTACACTAGACTAGAAGAGGAAATCAGTACCGAAACCAATCAGTAATCGCCATACTTGTACATCAGTACTATACAAGGATAAGTCAAAGGAAATATGTTTTTCGGGGTTTTGCGATCCCTACAGAGCTGTTCGAGACGCGATATCCAAGTCTTTCAGACAAGTACACCAAACTCGTCAAGGCCGTCGACCTGGCGCGTGAGCAACGGGAACAGCTGATTCGGCGCCCGAACAAGCGGCGCAGGATGGATGGGACGGGGACGGCATAGAGGCAGTGCACCCTTCCAGTTCTCCGCAGCGCTGCTGGACAATAGACGGCTGCTGGGTGGGACTCAGACATGCAGGCCTGATGCTAGTAATTGTGACTTTTGTGCTAGTATCGTTCCAGCAGTAGTAGTAGTAATAGTACTAGTACTAGGTAGGTAGTATAGACGACCCCCGGAGGTGCACTCTGCACCTGTCCTCGCACGAACTTCACGTCTGTGCAGTGGCCGTTCAGATTGGCCAGACAGAGAAGTACGACGCCGCGCAGGCTTGTTCAGATCGCACAGGACGCTGGGGGTCAGGTAGGATTGCACGAGAGTTTACTAAGCTACCGTAAATGGGTCGGGCTTATGGCCAACATAGGATAGTTATGTATTTGTAGATCTGTATACTTACTGGGCACTCGTGTATCGCTGTGAAACGGAGGGCACCTGCCTGTTGCCTGCCTGAGTGTTTACGCGTTCGCCAGATATGGAAGTATTCAGACGCGCATGTCACGTGCTTATTCTGGGACGCGATCACGACCCTGGCGCGACCGCGTGCAGAGCTTCTTCAACTTGTCCTTGAACGGTCGCCACCATGAGCTCGTCCGAGGCAGAGAATTTCGACATCGACAATGTCTCTGGCTCGGAATCCGACGACTATGCCCCGGTTGTGAAGAAGAAGACTGTATGTGTCTTCAGGCGATTCGTCCACTTCAGGGTACTCATCTTACATCCAGACCAAAGCGGCACCGAAGTCCACAACTGCCAAGGGTAAAGCACCAGCGAAGGCCAAGGCGGCTCCTGTAAAGAAGAAGAAACCTCTGGTCGATGCCGACGACAATGCCTCGGATAGCGACGTGGAAGAAGTGGGAGGGCAGGCTAACCCGACCTCAGACGAAGACGAGCCGGGTCCATCAGCTCCCAAACCTGCTGCTAACGGAAAGAAGAAGACTGCGTCAGAGACCTACACCAAGGTGCGGAGTTGATCGAGTGTGTTGTCGCTCTGGCTAATGGCGGGGATGTGGGGTTAGCTGTCGCAACTGGAACATATCCTCAAACGACCGGACTCCTATATCGGAAGTGTCGAGACTATTACCCAACCGATGTGGACATACGACTCGGAAACGAAGCGGATGGTGCATAGAGAAATCAAGTATGTACCCGGTTTCTTCAAGATCGTCGACGAGATTCTCGTCAATGCTGCTGATAACAAGGTGAGCGCGCCTCTGTGTATATTCTGCAGAGGCACTCATAATACTGTTTAGATTAATGACCCAAACATGGACACGCTGAAGGTGGACATAGACACCGAAGAAGGCGCGATCTCTGTGTACAACAATGGCCGTGGCATTCCCGTGGAAATTCACTCACGCGAGAAGATCTACATTCCCGAGATGATCTTTGGTCATCTACTATCATCCTCGAACTACGACGATGACGAGAAGAAACTGACGGGAGGAAGGAACGGATACGGTGCCAAACTGGCCAACATCTACTCCTTGGAATTTACGGTCGACACGGCGGATAAGAACACTGGCCAGAAGTACAAACAGACGTGGACCAACAACATGAGCACTGTGGGCAAGGCGAAGATCACCAAGAACAGCAGGAACGAAGAGTACACGTGCGTCAAGTTTAAGCCCGATCTCAAGCGCTTCGGAATGGATGCTATCGACGACGACACCGTATCTCTACTGAAGAGACGCGTGTTCGACATCGCGGGAACCGTCAGGGATGTGAAGGTTTCGTTGAATGGCGAACGCCTGAAGGTCAAGAACTTCAAGCAATACGTCGAAATGTACTTGAACTCAGCAGCAGCCACCGCCGAGGAAACATCCGGTGGTGCTGCACAGGCGAAACCGACTATTATCTACGAGCAAATAGGGCCGCGATGGGAGGTTATCTTCTCGTTGTCCGACGGCGCGTTCCAACAGGTGTCATTCGCGAATTCCATTGCCACTATCAAGGGCGGAACGCATGTCAACTACATCGCAGACCAGATTGCAAAGAACCTGATTGCCCATATCACGAAGAAGAACAAGGGCGCTGCAGTTAAAGCTCCGCAGATCAAGAACCATATGTGGATCTTCGTAAACGCCCTCATCGAGAATCCTACTTTTGACAGTCAGACGAAGGAGACTCTGACTTTGCCCGCAAGCAAGTTCGGATCGAAGCCGACCTTGTCCGAGGACTTCTTGAAGAAAGGTGAGTAGACAACGTTTGCCTGAAAACCCGCAATGCAAGTAACGTTCCATCTTTAGTGCAGAAGTCCCCCATTGTCGACCACGTGTTGAATTGGGCGAAATTCAAAGCTGACCAGCAGATCAAAAAGACGGATGGCAGCAAGAGGAGCCGGTGAGCCCTTCTCGCCTGTGTTCCAGAGGTGTTGGCTAACTATGACGCTCAGCTTGACTGGCATGACCAAGCTGTCTGATGCCAACAATGCAGGCACAAGATATGCTAACCAGTGTACTCTCATCCTTACTGAAGGAGACTCTGCCAAGGCCTTGGCTGTGGCAGGTTTGGCCGTTGTGGGCCGTGACAATTTTGGCGTATTCCCGCTTCGAGGGAAAATGCTGAATGTACGGGAGGCCAAGCATGACCAGATCATGAAGAATGAAGAGATCCAGAACATCAAGAAGATCATGGGCTTGCAACACAACAAGGAGTATACTAATGTCGCCAGTTTGCGGTATGGCCGCTTGATGATTATGACTGATCAGGTATATCTTGACCTACAATGACCCAGAGGTAGCGGGCTTCTGACGCTTTTCGTTGACGTAGGATCACGACGGTTCCCATATTAAGGGATTGCTTATCAACTTCCTCGACCATTTCTACCCGTCTCTTCTTAAGATACCCAACTTCTTGGTGGAATTTGTCACACCCATCGTTCGAGTGAGTCGGGACAAGGCTCTCTCGACAACTGTCCGCTGAACAGATGCAGGTTACGAAAGGGAAACAAAAGATAGACTTCTTTACCATCCCGGAGTATGAGAAATGGCTGGAGGACACGCCTGACGCGCACAAATGGGATTCGAAGTACTACAAGGTACGCCTATACAATCGTTGACTATTAAATCGCTTTGCTAAGGAGCGCTGCAGGGTCTGGGTACCAGCACCGACGCGGATGCTCGCTCCTACTTCAGCAATATGAAGAAACACATGATCCCCTTCTCCACGACGCGGGACGGCGATAGGGAATTGATTGAGCTGGCATTCAGCAAGAAGAAAGCTGACGACCGGAAAGAATGGCTTCGCCAGTTCAGGGTAATTGCGATATATATTTCGTGGATCCCTTTGCTGACTCAAGCTCATGCAGCCTGGTACCTATCTGGACCATAATATGGACGAAATACCTTTTTCAGATTTCATCCACAAGGAGCTGATCCTGTTCTCGATGGCTGATAACGTTCGGTCCATCCCTTCCGTCGCAGATGGGCTGAAACCTGGCCAAAGGAAGATCATCTGGGGTATCTTCAAACGTAAGCTGAAGAAAGAAATCAAGGTACGGGAATTCGTTGAAGTATATTTCGAATACGCCCTCATAAAATTATGCAGGTCGCACAATTGGTCGGTTATATCGCAGAACATGCTGCATACCATCATGGGGAGCAGAGTTTGATCATGACGATTGTCAACTTGGCGCAAGATTTTGTTGGGGCCAACAACTTGAACCTCTTAAAACCAAATGGTCAATTCGGGACCCGTGCTCAGGGTGGTAAAGACCACGCTGCTCCCAGGTATATTTTCACAGAACCTGCGTCTATCACTAGAGCGGTATTCCCAGCCGCCGATGATCCACTCTTGAACTACCTAAAGGAGGATAATGATTGGATTGAGCCGGAGTACTATGTTCCTGTTCTGCCCATGATCCTCATTAATGGCGCAGAAGGTATTGGAACAGGTGGGTTTCCAGAGTGATAGTTCTTAACATGGTCTAATGCAATGATCAGGATGGAGTACGAGTATTCCGTCTTACAACCCGATCGATATCATCCAGAATATTCGGCGATTGATGGACGGTCAAGAGCAGGAGCCTATATTGCCGTGGTGGCGTGGATTCAGAGGGACCATCAAGAAGGTCGGCGAGCACAAGTACGACGTGATGGGTGTCGCCAAGAAAGTCAACGATACGACTGTTGAGATTACTGAACTCCCTATACACAAGTGGACGGAACAGTATAAGGCGGAGCTCGAGGCCATGATCGGTGAGAAGGGTGACGGGGTCGTCAAAGTGAGGGCATTTCTTGAACCTATGGGAGAAGATCCTAACGATGTCGCTTGTGCAGGATTATAAAGAGCACCACGATAACATGAATGTTCATTTCGTCATCAGCATGCGATCCGCGCAGGATCTGGAGAAGGCGGAGGAGCAAGGCCTGATTGAGTTCTTCAAGCTTACAACCAGGATCAATACAGGAAACATGATCTGCTTTGATTTCGAAGGCAAAATCAAGAAGTACAATAGTCCTGAAGAGATCATCGAAGAGTTTTACCCGGTGCGACTGACACACTATCAGAAGCGCAAGGTAGGTTTGCTTCGCCATGTCGTATGGCCGCCACATCGTGACATGTTCTCCCGCAGGACTATATGGCCAATGAGCTTCAGAACCAGCTGGACAAGCTGAATAATCAGGCTCGTTTCGTGCAGATGATCGTCGATAGGGAGCTATCAGTATCCAACCGGAAGAAAGCGGATATCGTGGCTGACTTGCGCAAGAAGGATTTCCGGCCGTTCCCTAAAGTTGCTAAAGCCAAGGCAGCGGGCGAGGTTGAAGAGGTCGTCGAAGCCGAAGAGGAAGAGGCTGCTACGGGTGCCTCGAGTGACTACGACTACCTCTTGGGCATGGCGATATGGAGTTTGACTAAGGAGAAGGCGAGTCTGTATTGCTTTTCGTGAGAGCGCTGCTCTGATCGTCTGCCTTTAGATCGAGAAACTCCGTCAACAAGCTGCAGAGAAAGAGCAGGAGCTGTTGGCCCTCCTGAAGTTGACGCCGGCTCAGATCTGGAATACTGATCTGGACAAGTTCATTGACGAGTGGGAGGTACGGGGAACTGTCATTCCACCGCTAAAGCGACCGTACTAATATTTGCCCTACTCAGAAATCCTGCAGAGAATGGGACTACAAATCAACTCTGGATGCTAATGGCAAGCCCATCAAGCGGAAGCAGAAGGTCCTCGAGCACAGGAAGTCTCTAACGGGCAAGAAGAAGGGTGACGAGTCTGACGACGACGATTACAAGCCGAAGAAAGCTGCGCCCAAGTCAAAGGTAGCAGCTCAACGCCCTAAAGCCGCTGCGGCGGGAACCTCGAAGAAGGCGTCTAAAGTAGACGACGAGGAAGAGGACGAAGTTAGCTTCGTGCAACCTCCCGCGAAGAAGGCCGCGCCATTCAATCGGCCTGCAACTTCGAAGAAGACTTCGAACGAAGACGACGGAGAAGACGATGAAGATGACTTCGTGTCACCTCCTGCGAAGAAGCCCCCGCCGTCCAAGCGACCTGCTGCGTCAAGTGCCGACTCTGACTTTGAAATGGTAGAGAAGCCTGCGCCCAAGAAGAAAGCCCCTGCGAAGGTCACGTCGGGTTCAGACTCGGACGTGCCTAAGTCAGTGGATAAGGGCAAGGGGAAGACGAAGGCTGCCCCAGCTAAGCGAAAAACGTAAGGTTCATTGTCTCGACTGCAAGTCTGTTGCTCATCACAGTTCCACATAGTCCTGAGGGGAATGAGGGCGACAGTGAGGACGACTTGTATCTCCAGCCAGTGAAGAAGAAGAAGGCGCAGCCGGCGGTCACAGACTTCTTCGACAAGGTCCCCGCTAAGAAGCCTCAACCCAGGAAGCCGTCCAGCTCTAAGACTGCGACCGCTCAAGCCAGAAAACCGTCAAAGAAGGTTGTCAGTGACGATGAAGTTGTCATGTCAGACGGGGACGCTCCTCCGCCACCCGCGACCAAACGGTCCACGAGAGGAGTGGCCAAAACATATATTGAAGTCTCTGACGACGATGGCGATGGAGGAGACGGTGACTTATCATTATTCCAAGACGAATAGAGGGTTTCTGCGGCTGTCCTCCCTTTTGTTGTATTTTGCTGTACAGTACTGTCGAGTCGCTCTGGATATTTCGATGTTTCCGATCCGTAATTGAAAGGTTCCGTGCCCATCGACGTCCAAATTTGGTATCCACGTGGGTGCCACGGTGGGCACAAGTGCCTTTGGTCGTTCGTACAAAGCCGTAGCACTCGTGCATCAGTCGACACCGACAAAAGGACCGGCTTTGTCGTCGTGCTCGCTATACCCTTTATTCTAGAGCAAGTCTCGGCTGTTCTCTCTCAGTCGAGCGCTTCCCCTCTGGCTTGGAAGGACTCGGAGGAGTATCAAGTCGCGTAGTGAAGTTGTAGGACCATGGCGGCTACTCGCCAACACCCCCCTCGCCTGCATATACCACCGTCTATCAATAATGTACAGCCGTCGGTGGGCTTTGAAGGAGCACCTATGTTCTCGCCCGCTCTGCCTTCTGGCCTCCCGCAGTTCCCTATGAACCCCCACGCGGCACTCCAAACGCCTTTACACCCGTCCTTTTTCGCTCATCACCCGATGCAAGGGCGCCCGCCGCATATGGGGCATGTAAGCCGTCCTAGTCTTGCCCAATTGTCCCTTGCTGGTATGCCTATGCCCTCTGGTGTACCTATGACACCCATCGGACAGAACCAATTCCCACCTCCAATGATGCTGAATGGCGCGCCCTTCAACCCTCAACTCACCACGCGGAATAGGCGAGCGCCGAGTATCAGCGTAGGAGGGCCACCCAAGGCGCCTCTGGGAGGTCCCGGTCGTAACCATAGCCCCATGCCTGTCCCTTTGGTCGCTGCTGCCTCGACGGGCCCGGCTGCTGCCCCTGCGCAGAAGCAGAAGAAGGTTGTAGTGAACCTACCTGGCGAAACGGTCAAAGACGGAGAGGGTGCCGAGGGGACCACCAGAAAATCCTGGGCACGGACGCCGATGCACCCGTCGTATCTCCCTCCTGAACCTGAAGTAGCGCCTCCCGAAACGATTTCTGTAGAGCTATACCCACCGGACCCTTGGAGATATGAATTACCCGATAGCGTAGATGTTTTCCTGCCCGGCAAGGTCAGTATTGAGTCCTCACGGGTCGAGTGTTATGCTTAAGAGTTGCATCGTGGCTCTACATTCTTCCCTCTAGAGTGCATGGAATGCTGTTAAACAGAAGGCCATCGAGGAGAAGCTGGAGAGGCTCGGAGTAGAAAGGGGATCCGGAAGTAACGTTCCTCATATACACGCGCCGCATGCGCGCGCTGCTTCGGTAAGTTTGCAAGGCCCCCTACGCATGGCGTGCGCAACTGATCTTGCCTATAGATATCATCTCCCGCAGATCCAGCCTTACTCTTCTTCAAGCTTAATAAATTGCAGCAGTCTCAGAACGCGTCCAGTTCAAATTCCTTGACCACATCTCCCCAGCCTGGCTCCAGTCTCCCCACATCGCCTAATCCCCAGATACCTCCCCGTTTCCAAAATCGCCATGGCCATAGTATGTCTCTCGCCCAGCCTTCGAGCGCTCAGGCATCGTCTGTATTTTATAATCCTGCTTCTGGGTTTAATCCTTTCGGCCCGGCTGCTACGTTAGGATCAGACTCTATATCCCCTCGTCCACTTTCTGCTCAATGTGCTGGTGAAATCAGGAATGACATGATTGCCCCGCAAGCTCGGGTTCCTGTTACTGTTTCATCTCTCGGGCCACCTCCGACACTTTCACGTCCTGAAACCCGTCCCGACTTCATACGAGGCTTCGGCTTGGACATACCGGAAGAGTCCGAAGAAGAGCTGGAGGCCGACCGGGCTGCTACCGAAGATGGTACGAACGCTGACGAAAGCATCGTAACTGACAATGAGGGAGATACGATGATCGATGCGGTGAACGATGACTTCGATCATGCAACCGAGCAGGATGTACAGACGGCTGGGCCATCGAGTCGCGTGCACTCTCGTCATGTCTCTCGTCTTTCGGCTGCTCTCTCGCTTCGGTCCGTGGGTGGACACTTAGATCAGCCTGCCGATGATGTGCCTCGCAGTCCCAGGGAGCATCCGTTAGTGGATGAGCAAGACCGGGAAGCAGTGCAGGAATGGACGGGTTCTGAGGATCTGCGCACTGGCGGGGAGAAGTCAGACGATGAGGTACGCTTATTGCTTCCGGAAATGGATGTCATCAGACGACTTGACGGTATGTGTAGGAGAGCCTTGGTGAATTCTCGAATCCTTCGGATGAAGAACGTGCACGGCTTCAACGACTGGAGCGTCGGACTTTGCGGCGCAGCAAGGCTGACTTGGAAACTCCGAGGCGTCTGCCGAACTTCCCCCGTCCTCCAGAGGTTGCGCCGGCATTCATGGGTGCACCTTCGGACATGAACAGGGATGATGACATTGTGTCTAATCCTAGCGATGAAGGTGGCAGAGATGTTATCCACCTGGGCCTCGATCCAAACGAATACTACCGCCCGTCTTCGAATTCGAGTGGCGCAGGCAGTCGACCTCTGCCACCTCTTCCACATTCCAGGCAGACCTCAGCTCAGTACTCCTACCATGACCCCGCCCTGGCGCACTCGCGACACCCCTCAGAGCACTTCGTCTACCCTAATACGTCTCAGCCATCGGCGCCTCGTCGGGAGTCTCTCAACCCGTTGGCTAAACCGTTCGTGTTTGGTGCCGCTGCGTCCTCGACCTTCGTGCCTCCCTCCGTTGAAGGTCCACCGCCGCCAGCGCCTGGGCCCACCATGACCACCCATAACAGGGTCTCTTCCTTCGGGAAATCCTTGAATGCTGCCGCGCCGGAATTCAAGCCAACCTTCTCGTTCGTGGCTCCTCCTGCTGCCGCAGAATTTACGTTCACAGCCCCGTTGCCTGAGACTGCTCGCCCGCTTCCTGTTCCTCCTGCTCTGCCCGCGCCAGTCAGGGCTCAACAAGGACGGGAGAAGAGGCAGCGGCTCAGCCCGGATGGTGACGGGGATAGGTACGCTGACGAGGAGGACGAGACGGGTAAGTATAGCTTCACGTCGTTCAAGTTCCCTGCTGTATCGGAGTCACCTCAAGTCGTACGTCGTTCCGCACCTACAACACCCCCTGGGTCCAACAAGTACGAGGGTCTCAATGCGGGCGCAAAGCCATTTACGTTCGGTGGCTTCTCTACGTTCCCGTCTGTTCCTACGGATGCAGGCTCGAGCCCGACGCGCGAGAACGATTTGCCCGCGAACATCACTACGTTGGCAGAACAGGGGAGCCCTTCGCCGGGTGCTCGAGAACTTCCTATACCGCCAAGCTACAAGGGCAAGCGGGCCCCCATCCCTCTGGACTTCAAGCACCCTGTTTCGACAAATACTGTCCCGGCTGGGTTGTTCAAGGCCTTGGTAAACGGGAATGGCGAAGAAAGGACTCGTCGTACTGTGCGCTCCCGCTTGAGTTCTCGCGAGATCTTCGACCATATTTCTCGATCGTCGCTGGATGACACCAACGTGCCCTCGATTTCTCGAAAGATTTCTGTTCACCGTCTTGCGACTGACCCTATTCGTCGGGATTCTCTGGCAAGTTCGACAGGAAGCGTCGCCGCGCGACCGCGCCGGTCATCCTTACCAGCTCTGCACAGTGCCGCCGACTCCTCGTTGTCGGGCATCTCGATCCCTCCTATTTCCATGTCGAAGCGTGATGACTTGGGGCTATATGAGCAGCGCTTGGAGGCCTTGCTGGAGGAGAAGTTAGACGAGCTCCGCCAGGATCTCATAGACCTGAAGCAATCTAGCGGGAATGGTGTTAACCCATCTACTGAGGCTATGATCAACGAGGTTGTCAGTCTGTTCCGCTCACAGTTGCAAGAGTCAGCTGTTAGGGAGCTGGAAACCAGTCAGGCAGATGCACGGGGTGAATTGGACTTCCAGCTTATCAAGGATGTCATTGAACGAGGACAAGCCGAGGCGCAGAATGTCATACGCCAAGAACTGGCTGAACTCAGGCAACAAGTGGAGACGCAAGGTGTCGGATCACGATACAATCTGGGACCCGCCATTGAAGAGTACAGCGCTAGGACTATCGATGCCATTGTTGGCTCTGTCTCGCAACTGGCGGGACGTATTGACTCGCTGGCCTCTGGCGGGTTGTCGCAGCCCTTGGACAGAGAGTCGCTGGTGCGCGAGATTGTCGCCGTGCTTTCTCCCCAGCTAGCCGCACTTCGATCCGATCCCATTGACTACGATGCTCTCACTGCTCAACTTACTCAAGCTGTGAAGCCTCATATATCTCAGCTGATTGACCTCGCATCGGACAAGCGCGAGACTGCTGGGCTGATCGTGGACAGGCTCTTGCCTCTGTTACCTGGCATACAATCCCCCGGGCCTTCCCTGGATGAAGAGGCCATTGTGTCTCGGCTTACTACGGAAATGCGTCGGGTTGTGGCGCCGCTGGATGCTCATGAGATTAAAGAACAGGTTTCTGATCTGGTCGTTGAGAGGCTGGATTCCCGGCTGGCTGTCCGCGACAAAGCATTCAATATGGACACACTCACCATGAAGGTGTCAGAAAGTGTCTCTTCACTTCTGCAACCTGTGAAGGACGTGGCCAGCACTGCGGATGCTTTGAAGAATAGCCAGCAGATTCTTTCAGCGCAGAGTGAGAAACTGATAACTATCCAAGATAACATGATGTCTTCGTTGTCTGCCTTACCTAGCCAGGTGCTTACGGCAACACAAAGTCTCCAGAGTGTTCAAGCGGAGCTGCAGGAGCGCGGGAGGCGTTTCGAAGATGTTATCAAGTCGCTCGCCGACGTCCGGCAGAATGACCGGAGCGTCGATGAGCTCGCGGACAGCCAGAAGACAATTGTTGCCCTAACTGAGGAGTTCTCGGCCTTCCGCCAGGACGTCATGAATGGTCTTGACACTCTGCCCGAGATGCTCACTGCTTCCACCAAGGTTTTGCAAGACGCCTACTCTGATCTGGTCTCCCGTAGTGGCTCTAGGCAGGATCAAGATGAACTGAGGAGACTGATGAGTACAAACACTGAATTGCAAGTACAACTAGCCAAGGCTCGTGGCGCGCACGGCCAAGTCCGCGTGGAGAAAGATCATTTGAATGAGAAGCTCATAGCCGTCGAGGCAGAGAGAGATAGACTGCGGATTCAAATTGAAGAACACCAAACTGTAGCAGCTACCAAGACCGCTGAAGCTGTCGCACTTGAATCGAAAACGTCCGAACTGGAGGAAGCTTTGTCGCAGGCCCTTGCTCGTCTGAAATCCTCGGACGTGGCTGCCCAGACGCATCAAGAGCGTATAATCGAACTAGAGCGGACAAACCGTGAGCTACGCAACGAGAAAGAAATCCTTAGATCCAAGGTGAGCTGGCCAAGTACATCCTCCATCAACTTTTCTGACAGCATTATGTTCACAGGTGGACTCTCTCGAGTCACAGGCTAGAGTTGCTGCACATGATAAGGAAGCGACTGAGCGATCATTCGATATGCTGCAAAAAGAGCATGAGCGACTCCTTTGCCAGCAGGCTGAAACGGACGGTCTTCGTCGTTCGGTGGAGCAGCTGGAACATGTTATAACCGTGTTACAGAACTCGGATAACGAGGAGTTGAAGGAGCTCCGGCGCATTCGTGACCGCAGTAAGATCATAGAGGGCGAATATGCAGCTCTGCAGAAACGAGTGAAGGAGCAAGAGACTAAGGTCGTCAGCAGCGAGCGTGCCGCGGTTGCCGCCAAGCAGACGCTTACAACTGCTCAGCAACGGGCTGCGGAATGGGAGAAGCGAGCGAAGGAATATGAGGCCGACCTGGAATTGACGCGCACTAAGCTGGACCAGGAGGAACAACGGGCGGCTCAGCTAGACGCGGACTATTCGCTTGCTAAACTCCAGTTGGAGGAGAAAGACGCGGATTCGCGCCTTACCAAGGTAATCACGAGATATTTGTTTGCATTGGATCTTACTGAGCATGTTATCCAGGATCGGGAGAACAAACTCCGCGAGCAAGTCTCATCCCTCGAAGCACAGGTGGCGCGACTGCAAGGAGAGCTCGAAAAAGCATCAATGCCAGCACCGCTCACTGTCCGCAACGTGCAGAACGGTACTGCTCGCCCGTCCTCTCGAGCCAGCACCGTGTACGGACCCAGTCGGTCTGCAACACCAGTGGCTGTCAACGGCAGAGGTGCCGGTGCTATGTCTCCTCCTCAGACTTCGGTCTGGGACTCTATCCACGCACCACGGCCTTACAGAAATGGAGGCCCGATGGCCGCCAAGGCAAAGCCATCAGCATATTATAGACGTCAGATCCCATCACCGACGCCTAGCACCGTCTCAGCAGCGCCGACTCTCGGTGAAGACGGCTGGTGGTCATGATCACTCTTTCCTCTTGTAGTATATCCCGGATTTCTCTCTTGGTGTGCATCTATGCTTGATCTAATGTTTGCATATGTTACTCATACTCATCACTTCCTCTCGCTGCTATCATCACGCCCCGTCTTTAATTTGCATTACACAGAACGATGTTCTAATCGATACCCTCATTTGTTACGGTATTCCAATGTACATTTGGATGTGAATCATTACGCGACGGGAAACTTAGTATACAGATTGTACGTGTAGGAGTCAGTGATCTATCGTGAAGAAGGCCAGATCCATTGTCGGACAGCTTCAACCGCCTCGTCTGGGTTGTCCGGGGGCCTGTAGTGAAAGGTAAGGGTATTGCGTGGAGATCGACAGACAATAGCGCTGCGCACGTAAACTTGGGCTCCCATCGCCCATTGCGTAACTCGAAGAACCGAGGAACATGTTTTTCCCCACTTTCCTCTCGCTTGCGCCGCTCTTCACGCTGGGACTCCTCTACTGCAGACTTCGCGGATGTCGCGGTGTCCATATCTTTGTCATTAATGGCCTTTGTCAGTGCTGACCATAGTCTACGGAACTGTGAGTGAAGGTACGACGTTGTGGGATGGTATGACATACCGTCGGGATTCATTAGGCTCCTGTTCCTCCTCGGGGGCTACCCACTTGGGGGCAACTTTGTCTCCCATCTTTTGGACGTCAAACAGGACCCTCTTCTCTCCAGTCTAGGACGCAGGTTGTGGAGTCTGCCAGCACTGGAAAGTCTTATTAACATACCTTCGCACTCTTGTACTCCATGACGTGACTCCATCTCCCGGAAATCTCGCCGATATCCGTGTTCCCCTTGCGCACGCGACCAGAGATGGCGTTGTACGTCCCCGAGAAGAACCCCTTCGTCTTGAACTCGAGGTCGCAGTACAGGCCGTGCTTCTCGTTCTTTGCTGTGCACGTATCGCCCAGCTCGAGCACCATCTTACCGAACAGGATGCCGCGTGCGTACATATTTGGCATGGAGATCACGTATTCTGCGCCAGTAGTGTTTACCTTCGTGTTTAAAAATGTAAGCGGTGAGAGGACTGCTTACCACCGTCGTCCTGTCGCCCCTGTAGGATTACTCGGTTCTCGCCCTCCATGACGGTCGAAACACTGTTCCCGAGGAACCGCGACTTGGGCCGGAGCTCGCCGATGATACAGACTTTATTAGCGGGAGATATATAGTAAAATGCCGAGATGGGAGGATGATGTGAGACTGGAAGACGCGGGAGATCAGAGGGTATACGAGCATGGTCAGGGCAGGCGAACCACCTTGTTCTGCAATGTAGAATCCTTGGGTGCCGTTCGAGTAGTCGTATCGACACCGGAAGAATTCTCCAAGTATAGGGTTGTACCTGGAGAGTGTGGTTCATACGCAGCCCGAATCCTCTTAGGATAGACAGACGTACGGTTTCTTGACTCCTTTCGGCTTGATATGCCATCCAGCGAGATAATACTGCAACACACGGATGAACCGCTCCTCGGGATCATCGCACTCCTCGGCGCTAATAGTCTCGTGAGCCCGTGCATTGGTAAAGACAGGGGACCTCGACTCACCCAAAGATGAGATCAGGGTGCGCCATGAAATCAGTTATCCGCTCGAGCATGCTGCGGGGCTCCAGCACGAACGTAGGGAACGTCACTTTCGACAAATCCATGCCCACCCTGCCGGCGCCACAGACGATGAGCTGCCCATCCACTCTCGCATATGGGCCGGCGCTGCGTACCTGAGCTGGGAGATGAGCGACATGATGACAGAGCCCTCATTCTCGTCCCTGCAGAGCTGGTCAAAATCGCCGACGGACATGGAGGAAAGCGGTGAGGGGGACAGACAAGATCGATGTATCGTCCGGCTCGGTATCCTCGGGGGCTTTGTCGTCCACGGAGGCGCCGCGTGGTCGCCGGAGATGATTGCTTGCCTGCGAGAAGAGGCCCATCATGCTTTGTGCGTGGGGGGAATGAGGAAGGGCTGATCAGCGTTGCAGGCAGGCGGCGTTCGTTCCAAGTTTAAGTGGCCGCACAGCAGTACGTATATAGAGCAATCAGTACAACGCCTTGCCGCCGCTTTACGTGTACGTAGACGCAGACGACGAGCGCAGAGAAAGAGAGGTCGTCGTGGACGAGAGCAACGTTATGCAGCGGTAGATGACACTCCGCCCTGACGCAGCTGCCAGGCTATGCTCCGCCTTCCCCTTTCGATCACCTCCTATAGATCCCGCAACACAATATTCTATGACCAAGGAATACGACTCTAACAAAACAGAGGAAAATGTACGAAATGCAGCGCTGCTCAGAACTTGATCTTAGTCGGGGCAGCAGGCGCAGCAATGTCGTCGCGAAAGAACGCCCCGTAGGCACCGTGCGTTTTCTTCTTGATCGTCATTGGGAACTTGGACAGACCCGGCGCCTCAAACCCGCTCTCCCTCAACACACGCGCGAGCTCGCCAGCCAGCGCCCGCTCGTGGCCCTCGCCGGTGAAGAAAGTAACCGACTTGCCGCTCCGCCCACCACGACCTGTGATAAACGCGATGAGGTAAGACGGCCGGACACGCTCGGGCTGACGCTCACCTGTCCGGCCGATGCGGTGGATGTAATCCTCGATAGTCAGGGGGAATGTGTAGTTGATGACCAGGCCGACGTTGGGGATGTCCAGCCCGCGCGCGGCGACGTCCGTGGCAACGAGCAGGCCCGTCTTGCCCGTCTTGAAGTTCTCAAGGGCTTCCATGCGTGCGCTTTGTGACATGTCCCCGTGCAGTGCGCCGACGGAGTAGCCCTGCCGACGGAGGGTCTGCTCGACCCGGGATGCTTCCTTTTTGTAGAGGGCGAAGACGAGGATGCGTGACTCTTCTGACCCAGGCTCAGCGTGCTTTTTGTGCGAGGCAGCCCGTAGAGTAGCCGTTAGCCGGTAGCTCCGGTAGAAGTTAGCATTACTCCTGAGCGCAGGATGGTGATGACTTACTCCTTGTCCCGAGGGTTGTCAAACACCTCGACGACTGTGATTTCTGTCAGTAAGACAACAGAACTATTGGAAGGCTGCGTACCTTGTTCCACCCTACTGTTGGCAGTCAGATCGTCACTCCCAACCGTAACCCGAACGGGATTCTGTTGGAATGTGCTGGCTAATCTCCGGACGGCTTCGGGCCACGTAGCGCTAACTATTCATGGATGCCCGTCAAGAAGTATACAGTCGACCCACCACTAGAGGCACCTACACATTAACGTCTGCCGCTCCGACCCTTGCTTCGTATGCGAGATGATGGACCGGATATCATTCTCAAAGCCCTTATCCAGCATCCTATCCGCTTCGTCCAAGACCAGATAATCCACCCTACCGCCCCAATCAATCAGCCTCCACACACCAACCCGCGCACAAGCAAATCCATGTACTCACCCGCTCAAATCACACGCACCGTCATTCACCAAATCCAATATCCGTCCGGGGGTGCCAACCACAATCCGTGTCGTCTTCCCGTCCTTGTTCAAGTTCCGCAGCGTCTTGACCTGCGGGCCCTTGTCGACGCCGCCGAAGAGCGCGACGCTCGCGACGCCGAAGGGCGCGCCGAGCGCGAGGAGTGTCTCGTGTGTCTGGATCGCAAGCTCGCGCGTCGGCGCGAGCACGAGGACGCTCACGCCGTTTTCTTTCTCTTTCTTTTTTGACTTAGACTTAGATTTGGAGGTGAGGTGCGCGAGGGCGGGGAGGCCGAACGCGAGCGTCTTGCCGCTACATATCGATATGAGGATAAATTACATGCATGCGTATGAGTAGTACATACCTGCCCGTCTCTGCGATACCTACCACGTCCAGCCCCTGCAACGCTGGAGGCCACGTACACGCCTGAATCGGTGTGGGCTCCTTAAACCCAGCCAACGCCGAGCGCAAGCTCGATGGGATATCCAGCTGGTCAAAAGTCAGTATGGGAGTGGGGGGTGAAGGGCCCTCGGAGGCGTGAATCTTAATCGCATGCTCCGAGAGGAAGGCGTCGATCTCGGACTGCGAAGGCGCGCTGGAAGGAGACGAAGTCGCCTTCTCATTTGTTCCTTCCTCCTCAGCAGGGGGTTCGGGCGCGGTCTTGTCCCGCTTCTTCTTCTTATCCCTCCGCTCGCTGGGGCCTGCGTCCTCGCCCGCCTCCACGGCAGCCTCCCGATCCTTCCTCTTCTTCTGCTTCCCGAGGCAAGTCGCGCGTTCCTCGCCCTCTGCGGGCTCCTCTGCGGCCCTACGCTTCTTCTTTTTCTTCTTGACCTCGCTCACACTCGAGGACGCCTCGGCGGGATCTTGAATCGGAGCCGGAGCATCAACGTCGCCCATGCGACCCTTCTTCTTCTTTTCCTTCTTGTCCTTTGCGCCAGAAGACGCCTCAGCCTGGCCTTCAGGCGGAGCAGGAACATCCGCGTCCCCCTCGTCACTCGCGTGCTGCTTCTTTTTCTTTTTCACTTTCCTCTCCCCATCCCCATCCTGCACCTCCGCTATACACAAAGTAAACATAAGACCAAGCCGCCCGAGCACGAACAGTGATCAAGCTGGCAAGACCATTACGCACCCAGCTCCCTCTTCTTCTTTGTCTTCCGCGCAGCCTTCTCCATCTCTCTCCCTTCGTCCATCGCCCTCTCCTTTTGCTTGTCTTGCAGTTCGTGCTCGACGGCCATGGCTGCACGGAAGTTTTGTGGTGGAAGGACAGCAGCCTAAATTTAGCGTCCGATCGTAAACCATGGCAGTGCACGTGTCTTGTACCCGATCCCTCTGATGACAGTCACAGTCACAGTCACAGTCAGTCCGTAGTGAGCGGTGCCTCAAAGACCTGGTAATCACGCCCATTTGGAGCTCTGACTTAAAGCGTACCTGCAGCTTGTGGTACGCGATTGATTTTCTGCACTAAACACATACCAGACTTGAAGGGTGTGGGATGGACTTGCAGAGCATGGGAATCGCAATGTCTGCTCGGGCGAACGTACCCGGGTATCACCTGGACGGCAATCCCGCGGTGGCCGAAGATGTGGTATCGTGTTGTGCCAAGGGCGGGAAGGGGCTGTCCATCTGATCACTACTGACCATCCAATGAGCTCTTCTCATAGCTTTCCTGGAGTTTTGCTTCCCAGGCGTTATTCGCATCCGAGACTCCGAGGCCACATTTCCCACAATGGCGCTGAATGTATTGAGGTCCGGTCCATGACTTCCCATTGAATATATCAAGATGTAAGAATACAGAAGATTGCTCTTTAGTGATAACCAGCATCCAGGGAGAATGTTGCGCAGTGTCCAGCAGTTGGTTTATCCATGCCAGCAGTGTCCTCTATCTTACAATGAAAGCCTATGGTAGCCGTGGACAGAACAGATCATACAGGGACGAGGTCGGATTTCTTCTCTCTAGTATCACCAGCTGGCACATGTTCCTCCTCTGCATCAGAGTTCAGTGTAGTAGCTGTTGGCCTCAGGTGCAGGGCTCGGAGCTCAATGTTCTGTTCTTCAGCGGCGCTGTGAGGAGCTTCGGCGAACTGCATTCCCATCGTGAGAACAACTGTATCACTACCTCCCGAGGTTGTATATTCAGCTGACCTGCCGAGAGCCACTAGAATGACAATGAGTGTTGGGACAAGGCCCTATGGAACGTGAGTCAAGCCAGGGGTAGTCAGGAGGATGCTCAGTGCTTACTGTACTCATGACCAGGAGGACTGAGGCCACATCCTGTGGGAGCAAATTGTTGAGTGCAGCACTGGAAGATGCCAGAGCACGGGTGTCACTCACCCCGAGCGTGTTACCGCTTGATGACATCGAAATTAATAGCAGTGCCGCATATAGTGCACCAGACTCAATCCTGGCAGTGTAAGAACTTAGTCAGAGGTCCACGCCCTGCAAGATCCTGCCGTCGTCTCACAATATGTGGACCACACGCAAGTACTTTGAACCGTACATCACGCCTGCCTCTCTTCGCATTTTCCGGACTACCCACCAGATGCGAAGTGCTACAGAAGATGTCAGCTTGAATCAGACATGAGAGTTCACCTGGATGCTCACAGACAAGGCCTGTCATGAGCAGGTTTGTAATGAATGTTGTAACATAGTAGACAATGTTCATGTTGCTTAAGATTGTGCCTAGCCGAGTCCATTCCGGCGGGGGAGTACCACCATAAGGAGTGTGTATGTTCACAGCGTACTGATGCCCTTGGACAACCAGGACAGTGATTCCAAATGCTGCAAATTGTCAAAGGTCCTGTGGTGTAGGCACCAAGACAGAGTGCTTACATATCTCACAGAGAAGGAGAACGGAAGGAAGGATAATAAAGAATCTCTTCCTTTCCCAGACTATATAGCACCTCCAAACCTGGGAGAAGGTGAACACATTCCCTGCAGGGGAGGATGTCATGAGCTCACCAGTAGCAGATCTCCAAGGAAGCTATGATATGCAATATTTGTCAGATAATCATGACCCACAGCAACAATGAACCTCACATATTCAGTCCAAAGATTCCATCATAAATGCAGTAGAGGAAGTCACGAAACTTATGCTCCTGGAAGGCACGTGGTGTGTCCTCATAATATGCGGAAGTAATGAGATATCTTCCAGTCGTGAACATGTCGATCCCAAACTCAGCCGACGTTAGCACAAATAAGCCAATTACAGCCATCCACAGGATCCGGCTGATTGACCCGCCAGTTCGCGGTGAGAGAAGGATATGAATACACCATGTAAATGCAACCATGTAGCCTGCTGTGTTCTGTGTGAGCAAGGATGATTTCATGCACTGGCAGCAGGCACTGGCACTCACCATACATAGCAGACTCAAGCTAAATAGAAATGTGCATGGTTCAGTAGAACTTCTCTTCATTCAACAGAGAGAATGATACTTACACATAGGCAAATAATGTAATTCTTGTTATTTGGAGTATCTCAGCCTAATATCTGGATGATGAAAGCTGTGTAACTTACCTGCTGAGAGGAAAGACCCATAGTGCAGTCGGAAGCAGGTGACAATGCCTGTCATGAATAAGGGGTGCATAAAGGACTACATTGCACCTTAGTGTTCATATAGCACCCCATATTGATAGCTTACTACTATCCTTGGAAGAACCCAGACACAGATCATCAGTACTGTCATGGTCTTCAAACACATACCCTGGTATCCAGTAACATGCATAGCATGTCCTGCCACAGGGTGTAGTATCCCCATTCTGGTGTCTGATTACCTGGCACATCTCAGTATTTTCATCACTGATATATATTTAAAACCCTTCCACAGCGGAGAAACAGGAGTAAAGCTGGTGATCGGTGCATAGACAACATCTCACCTGGGAAATGGAACATTGGTGCCCAAGTTCTCCTCTCATGGCTGCTGCACCTTATCCCATAGGACCCATACTTGATACACTTCTAATTCAAATGGTACAATTGGGGAAATACTGTAACTTGAAGATCAGTCACAGTTCGAGTTGAGAATATTGATGAGGAGTCGTGATCGTAACATGGAAGGCCCTAAACAGGTATGATCACTTCGTCCGAGTCGACCAACATTTCTTGATGCACGGCAGCTATAGCGTGGTAGAACCCAACACTGATAAGCAGATGCCATCCCAGCTTCCCCAAAAGCAACTTGAGTGCAACCCTTCAAGTTCCTAGTAGGATGAGACACTACTCTTGTTCCATCTGCAAGTTTGCCCAGGCTCGGCCGAATTCCATAGTACTAGTGGGTGATATTTTTTCAAGTCAGACCTTCTCTCGATAACAGTCACCATAGCAGAGTGTCTGTATTGTATATATACCTGCCAGTGGATGCAGGCAACATAAAGAGCATGTGTCCAGTAGGGCAACAAGCATCACAGCCAACAAGAGTTCACATGACTAAGCTATTCATGTCCGTTCGATGGAATGAAAATGTTACCCATGCCAAGAAGACCAAGCTAAGGATAGATTCAGAATGGCAGGTCAATTTCAAGGACCTGCTCCTGGGATGGCAACCCAGGGGAGGAATGATAAAACTGAGCTTCCACCTCATTGGTGCCGAAGACCGGGTTTTCGATGGTTGCAGAGATCTTTAGTGCTTCGTCACGGGATTGCTTTTCAACAAGAACCTCTCCATCCAAAGTAGTGACAGCGGAATGGTCCATAACCTGCATCACGTGTTCTGTACTCTTGCCCAGAGCAATCAACGTCAGGACCAAGGTCGGGACAAGACCCTGCTCGAAGCGTCACTCGCAATATGACGCAAGATGTGAATGTGTTACTAACTGTACTCATGACCAGCAGGACTGAAGCAATATCCTGTATTTTGGGAGCCATGAGCTGGTATATGACTCAGATAATGTAAGTCCCACTCACTCCAACTGTGTCATTTTGGAAGGCCATAGCCAATAGAAGAAGGGCCGCATAAATCAAGCCAGACTCGATTCTAGTTTGTATTTCGAGGAATAAGCCACTCATGAAGGAAACCAGATGAGGCAACAATCTTACAATATCCTGACTGCACGGATATATCTGGAGCCAAAAGTGTGTCCGGATGCTTTCTGAACCTTCCTAACTACCCAAGCTATCCGCGATGCTGCACCAGTAACATGAGTCAATCAGTGAAGCAGGTAGAAAGTGGGAAGTGGCATATACGCACAGACCAAGATGGTCATGCCTGCATTGAGTATAAAGGTAGTCACATAGTAGGCAATATTCAGACGGCTGAGCAGGCTTCCAAGCTGTGTCCATCGATCTGGGAGAGTAGCACCCCAAAGGGTATGCAGACGTAGTAGGTAGTGCTCCCCTTGCACGACAAGTACGGAAATACCCAATGCTACACAAAGGTTAACTGATGACCGAGTCCATGAAACTATCACTTACAGATCTCTACAATGAGCGCAACGATAGGGATGGCAATAATGAACCACCTCTTATTCCAGACTACCGAGCAGCGCCAGACCTGAAGGAGGTTCAGCAAGATATAAAACATAGGGATTGAGAGATGAACCACAAGTGCATCTGCCAGGAATCTGAAGAGAACATCAGCTGGGCTTTCAAGTTCGGAATTTATATGACATCAAACATACATATTGATGCCGAAAATACCATCATAGATGCAGTAGAGAAGGTCATGCAAATTATGCTCGAGCAATGCATGCGGAGTGTTGTCGTAGTAGGCGTCACTTAAATTGAACCGTCCTGCCACGTACGCATCGATAACGAATTCCGCCGTAGTCATGAAGAATAGGAGGACCACGATGAAAGTTACAGTAGTGTTTGTCCTTGAACCGCTGTTCCTGGTGGAGAGTACCCGCATACAGTAGCCAAACGCCCCAACATAAAAGGCTATCGCAGCAACATCAGCAGCTAGGCATGTGTGTCTCTGTTGATGGACTCACCATAAAGTGCACTTTCGAGCTGTAGACAACGTTAGCGGCACCATTTCGAACCCAAAGCCACAGACCATCCACGCACGCATATGCACAGAAGATAATTCTATCGTACATGAGGATGTGAGGCCAACCACAACTACTACTGGAGGTACCTTACCTGCTGAGTTGTCAGGCCGCCCATGACCGAATGACGATGACTGGGGCAAGCTTCAAGACGAAAGAGGGCTTCCACTTGTCGTCGCACTAGGGCTACTTTCTCTGTAGAGAGCAGCAACGACCAGCGCTCTCACCTATTATCCCATAATAGCGTTGCGATAGCCATACTCTTGCCTGTACCTCGCTATTTAGGGCGACGGATCAGCACGTATTGAGGAATTATCTATAGTCTCCCTAAAGCACCCGTACAATGCCTGTTCTGATATTCTATAAGGCAAGCGATAAGACCGGCATCATATAGGTAGACCGAGGAGTGAATAAGACATGACTCACGCTGTCAGGAAGGATAGAGTCCTACACATGATTCTGTGACTATCAGGCTAGAGAGATTTCTTTAATCCAATGAATTGACAAGACTTCTAGGTATCGATGATCCCTAACATCCAAGGAATGGTATATGTGGCATGAATGGAGCGCAACACATCCAGACGCGCCCTCCACTGGACTTAGGCTAGGATACAAACATTTGCTCGGAGCTAGATGCGTAGAAGTAACCGCCTGCTGCCAAGCCACAGCATACCTAGAATGATGTCGCAAGCGGCGAAAGCCCGGATCTGTCAGATAACTCGAATCATGCAATGCCCAGCGCCACCTGACATCAGTATGTCATTATACTGCTGATCTACAGCGGTGAATTGTGCATGGCCTGACTGCTTGACCACCATCCTCTTCGGAGCTTCTCACGAGTCACAATGTTCCGCCCTAGGCAGTGATATGTGAGTTTGTCTGCGAACACGCGCAGTAAGATACAGTCAGCACACATAATCGCATGAGCGAAAGCGCATACCCGAAAGAACAGGTCCCACCGCTACACTCTACATCCTCCCCGCCTGGTCGTGCGAAGCGAACCGAGTGCAAAGCGTCTGACTTCGGGATCCGGGTAGTGTGCTCAATCGTCTTTCCGAGGGTAACGAGGATAGCCAGAAGTATCGGGACGAACCCCTAGAAGCTGAGGCAGGACGCATTTCCCAGCAGAACTGGACTTGCTCACCGTACTGACGAGAAGGAGCGCGGCGGCCGAGACCTGGACCATGCATCAAGGAGGTGCAGCATGAGGTTAGAAAACAATTGTAAACTCACTCCAAGTGTATTATGCTGAAACGCCGTGGCCATCATGATTAAGCTGGAATAGATGGCGCCAGACTCCACCCTGTGGTGTGACAGCTTATGCACGGGCCAGATAGAAGAACTGGACAGGGAGAACGCTTACATTATATGCACGATGTGCAGGTATCGCAATCCGTAACCCTTTTCACCCTCGCTCTGGTTCCTGCGGACTATCCACCAGATTCGAAACGCTCGCGCAGTTTCAGCCAAAACCCGCTGAAGCCGTCAACAAAAGCAGATACTCACGGACCAAGAATGTCATAGTAGTGTTCGTTACGAACAGCATAGAATAGTACGCGATGTTGAGATGTCTGAGCAATGTGTTTAGTTCCTCCCAGTGTGCGGGCAAAGGCTGGTCCCAGGGCGTGCGCGACCAGGATAAATACTTCTCGGTCTGAACAACTAGTACTGCAACGCCGAGGCCTACGACGCACGCATCGTTAGCCACGGGGATGGGAGAAGGGTGCAACCATCACCTACAAATTTCCGCACAACACAGGATAACAGGCAGTAGGAGGAAGACGCGCTTGCGCTCCCAGATCACAGAACAGCGCCAGGCCTGAATCTCCCTCATCAACTAGTTTGACTGTCCTATACAGGGCCGTACCAGTAGAATATCAGCTACAAGTCTTGAACAAGAGATCAGTCACTCCGGGTAAAGCGACTGACAACAGACGACGCACAAGTTCGTCCCAAATATACCGTCATAAATGACATACAGCAAGTCGTGAGCATTCTGCGTTCGTAAGCTGAGAGCACTGCTCTGGTAAAACGCCGCCGAGAAGTTGAATTTTACAGCAACGTAGGCATCAATTGCGAACTCGGTAAGGAGGTCGACGACGAATGTCATCTTCCTCTGGACGCGGGAAGCATTCGCAGGGCGCGTGGCGAGGTATACGTAGGCGAAGACAGTTCCCAGGTAGAGCACTGCACGGCATGCCTGAGGACTTGCGCCTACGGATGAAAGGAGGAAGACGCCGTATACCCACCATACGCAGCGCTCTCGATTTGTACGTTATAGAAGTCAGCTCTTAGCACAGATGCCAGGACGACCAACGTACGCCTATGCTGACAATATGGTTCTACGATATTAATGTCTCGAGGTGCACATCACGGTGAACAGAGCTAAGCAGCCCACCTTATGTTTCGACAGCATCGCTGCACGTTCCCGACGATGCAGAGGAGGTAAGTCACTGCCCGCTGCGCAGCGGCGGGGTCCAGACGTGAACGTGCGGTACTTCGCCGGCATAAGTGAGTAGTGCAACAGCGGAGAAAGCAATCTAGAGTGGTCCCCAGTGCTGTCTTGGAAAGGCGGATGCTGAGTAGGGGTAGTATTGATCCATCACCAGCGGAAATGGGCCACTATGCTTGTTTCATAGCCCGAGCGGGGTAGCACAGTGCAGGCATCGACTGGCAGCTACGGGTTATGGTAAGGTGACGTCCTTGGGTATTGGCTCCAAACATCAGAGAACACGGTGATCAACAACGCCGCGGGAAATCGGCGACACGCTCGGACTTGGCACAGTCACGGGCAGAGCTTCCAGGATGCTACTGTTGGGCATCCGAGGACCCAGGCACTAAAGACATACCAAAATATCGATGAATCAAAGTTGAGAACTGAGACAAAGATTCACGCTTACCCCACAACAATATGGTGGATGAGTGATCTTCCAATGTTGCTATGCCCTGGGATCACCTAGATTTTGACCTGGGGAAACTAGGAATACCCATCAAGAGGCGGAGACAGAGCGCATCTGCGTTAGATGCAGAGCGTGATATGTAGCGGTCGTCCCTCTGCAAGCTAGGCAACACCACAACCAAACGGCCATTAACCTTACAAGAGTTCCGCGACCTCCGCTGTTAGTGGAGTGTCCGAGACCCGTGGAGATTGAGATAAATCAAGAGTCCCACCGATTTGCGATCCGAGCCGTCCTCCGAGTCCCCGTTGCTCCGAATTGTATACTGAGTCATCCAATCAGGAAGCGAGTCCATCAACATGATGTGGCAATCGCTACTCCTAGAATAGGGTTAGGCCGCACTGTCAACGACGCATCAGTCGGGCCGGGTACCTTCACGGTACCGGACCTCCCCTTCGAGCCACACTGCAGGCGAATATCGAGACATGGGGTAACGGTATGTATACTCGTGTAAGAGCGTGATATGGATACAAAATATTACTGTCCTAGCTAAGATAGCAATAAGATACGAGTGAACAAAGGACGTGGACGGAGACAGACAAACACAAGGTAAAGCCGTAACTGGGATGCGACATTGACTACTATACAGTGAAGGACTCTCCGCACCCACACGCGTCCTTGATATTAGGGTTCTTGAACGCAAATCGCGCGCTGTCCGGCAGACTCAGCACATTCACCCACGAAAACGAAGACCATTACGCACCTGAGCGCATCCTCGTGCCAGTCCATCTCGCTCCCGATTATCGAAAAGAGCGCCTTGCTGTCTATGAGCACCTTGACCCCGTCCTGCTCCACGACCTCGTCAAACTTGCCCGGCTTGTCGACGTATTCGAGGTGGTACGACAGCCCGGCGCAGCCCTTGTTCCGCACGCCGATCCGGAGGAGCTGTGGGTTGGGCCCGCTCGTCAGCGCCTTCAGCCGCTGGACAGCATTTGGTGTCTAAGCATGCCACTCAGAACTATTCTGCATTCAACGGAAGAGAAATGCACGCACGATCGTTAACGCCGCCTTCTGCGAGCGGATCTTCGGCCTCGGTCGCTCAGCCTTGGGTGCTGGCGGCGGTCGGGCTGCCGTCTGCGGTGACGATGCGTCGGAAGATATGGGAGGCTGCTGGCTGTCCGCCGCAGGCACGACGACAGGCGGCGGGTCGGACGCGGAGTGTCTCGACGTCGACGGTCCCGGTCGCGGTGAATGCTCTGCCGACATCATGGCTCGACGGATGCCCATGAGAACAAAGTGGCCATGATGGCTAGACGATGGAGAACGAAGTAGTAGACGCGAGGCATGCGCGCGAGCCATGGAGACCGACAGAGACATCGAGCAAGGAGTTTAGGACGAGGTCCACAGAGTTTTGGAGGTCGCTGTGATATAAGCCATGTTGGGCTTTGTTTGTTCCTGGTGGCGGTTCCTGCATCTGGCCAATTGTAATGCTCGGATTGCGGTCGTGCAACTCTTGTGCGACAACGAAGATCGACTCATATTTGTCTCAGAATTAAGGTCGTAGAGTTGCCTAGACTTTGTTGGCTTGTTTCCGGAGTGTCTGCGGGTCTTTCGTCGGTTTGGTCAGAAACTTGGTCGGCCAGGCTCCTGGACGCTGAACTCGGATATAACCGAATATTCGTCCGACTCCACGTGGCCAGGCCAATTACGGCAACCAACCCTAACGGAAGCTTGTCGTGAGTGAGGCCTTTTCGCCGCGCGGCACTGCTCGTCAACCCTCCATCCCTCCTGCGCTCGCCATGCGCCCGCGCGTTCCACGTCCGCCGGTAGGGTCCTCGATGATGGACTGAACGACTGGTGGGCTGCCGCCGCAGCCCCCTCTCAGCGCGCTCCGGGGAACCTCCGTGCAATGGCCCGCCATGTGTCAGTCGCTCTGTCATGTTGAAGCAGGCTTCAGGGAATTTAGCCTCGGCGTATGGGTGCGCCTGATATCTGTTATCCTTAGCGCCCTCCCCGGCCCTTCCTCAACGCCCTTGCTGCGGTTGGGCGCGGTAGCTTGGTCCTGGCATACTCAGGCTACCGCGACGAGCTGGTAGTGTGATACGACAGAGTCGTCTCGTGCTTACCAGCTCGTCGCCGTAGTATTGCTCGAAGCTCATAGGATGACGTTCTGCCTTGCTGTCCTGTCCACTCTCACTCTTGCTGGTAGATAAGCTGACCTGCCGTTAATCATCCGCAGCCTATGCTCCCCCGCAAAGCATTCAACTCCTAGATCTCAGGCAAGTAGTACTTGGACTGCACTTGGATTCCCTTCCAATTTCCAGAGATCTCGTTGATTTATCGATAAACACGCCATCCGTGAACCCCCGCGCGAAGCCAGTACGTTACGACCTACCGTGCGCACCGTACGAACGCTTATAAATTCGTTCCCAGCCTCCATAGCACCGCAGCTGTGGTACACCCATATCTGCCCCCGCCCACGCAAGCTCGCACAGATTCTTCCGTTGGCTCGGTTCCACCTGGTGATTTCCTTCATTCGTCATTTGGCAGCTTCACGCACTCCGCTTGACTCCGCGACGTCCGGTCAAACCAACGGATCAAAGCTCGGTATAATTCATCGCATCTTCCGTAGGTTCCAACGCCTTTTCACATTCCCATGCCCTCTCCCGATGCTTTCAAACGCTTCAGCAGCCTTGCGAGCACCATCTGTTGCCATTCTGGGCCCGCGGATTGTGCGCGCGGCGCTGTGTTACGTAATCTCGGGACCGGCGCTACCCGAGCTACTAGGCCCGATCGCCCATATGGGAGTTCCCCGCTGGCCTCAAACGTCGCAATAGCGATACCTTGCGAGGCCGCTCTGCGACTGCCTGCCACATCTTCCGATCTCAGTCTTGTCCCTCGCGTTCATGGTGCGTCATCTCTGCATGTTTCTTTATCTTACGCAAACGAAGTGAGAGTAACGACACGGCAATGTAAAGGTGTATGTGAACGACAAGAAGTTCGCCTGGTGCGTACCCCCTCCCCGTCCATCCGTTGGCGCGATAGCGAATCACACCCCGCGCGCAGCGAGACATGCATCAAGGGCCACCGCTCGTCGTCGTGCAACCACACGGAGCGGCCCCTGTACGAGATCAAGAAGAAGGGCCGCCCAATCTCGCAGTGCGAGCGCTGCCGGCAGCTGCGCCAGGTAAAGAAAAAGCACACCAAGTGCACCTGCGCGGCGGACGCGGGCGCGGAGGTGCCGGCTGTCAGTGAGGCGAGCGGGTCGGGTGCGAAGGGGAAGGGTATGTGGATGCTTTTTGTATAATGGGAGGGCGTTAAGGGGCCTTGTTTGTGTTTTTGTCTGGTGTTAGCGAGGAGGTTCATTCCTATCGCGCCGGCACTCCCGAATGGACTCAAGGACGCTCTCAATGGTGCAACGGGATCGTCTACGAGCTCAAATCCGAAGAATCAAGGTTGCTTCACTCTGTTTTCGCTCCCCGCACAATGTTTATACTGACTGAAAACTCTTATTCACTGATTTTACAGCCGATTCTTCGCCCAGCTCATGCTGCTGCGGCTCGTCGAGCTGCAAATGCTCGTCCAAGGCACCCGCGATGGGGCCTGACGGCATCCCGCCCACTTCCTCCGGGGGTATGAGCACGGGGCTTGCCGCACTAGCACAGGCCGCGGCCCTCTGCTGCAAGGAAGACTCCGCCTGTCGGAGCACGCTCTCTCAGCACCCACGGAATGGGAGCAGCAAACATGCTCGGGGCGACAGCCCCTCCCCGCCGCCGGCGCCGTCCTCCTCAACCCAAAATCACGTACACAAGCGCACGAAATCCACGCCGACGCCCTTTCCTTTTCCCCCGCGCCCCGCTTCCTACGTATACCCCCAGTCCCAGCCCGAGCGCGGACCGGAGCTCCCGCCGATTCTCCCTGCCCCCGGAGCCAAGCCACTGACGATCCCGCCGCTCAGCGCGATCGCCTCGCTCGCGGGCTCGGGGTGCTGCTGCGGGCTGCGCTGCGCGTGCCCGGGATGTGTCGAGCACCGCGGGCCGGAGCTCGCCGCGCGCGACCGCGATGACTGCCCCGGGTGCGGGAGCTGCGTGGACCACGAGGGCGGGGTCGAGTTGGATTTGGGAGGCGGGAGGTATGAGTACGGAGGCGCTGTTGAGCGGTTCTTAGCCTCCGCGTCCGCGGGGAAGGGCAGTGATGTCGCTGATGCGACGCGGGATTGAGGTCTAGGTTGTTCGGGTTGGGCGCGATTCCTTGTCTATGCGAGTTTATTGCTGTGGTTTGTGGGAGTGCTCTCAGTCGGAGAGCGTGTTAAGGTTCTTGTTTATGCAAGTTATCTGGTTAACAGTATGTTTGATTTAACCGGGACACTATCGGTTTTCTTCTCGTTGAGAGGGAGGTCTGCGTTTGTCTTATGTATCCCGCTGTGTTCGGGTTCTTGGATATCGTCGTGTAAGCTTGTAATTTTACGCAGGATCGTTGTCGATTTTGAGCAACCCGTAGTTCGTCTTGTAGGGAACGTGGTTTTCATAATTTGTTGTGTGGTGTTGGATTAATGCAAGCATGTTTTGCTGTGAACAAACCGTCCGACGCTTGTCAGAGCTGCAAGCTGGGCTCATTTGAGCTCGGAACCGAAGCTAGCTCATCGACGCCACCGAGCCTCCGGCAATCGCCGGATAAGATCTCCCGGTCGATCACCTGGCGTGAGAGATACGGCCGCTTTCGAGCCATCGCGCATATAACGCTCCTTGCAGAGCTCGCAGACGCTGCTTAACGAAGTCCGCAACGTCCGCAATGGCCGCCCTCGACGCCCCCAACGTCCCCGACGCCTCCCGCCGCAAATTTATCCTCGCCTCGCGCGCCTCGAAGCTCGCGCAGATCCAGACCGACAGCGTGCGCGACGCTCTACAGGCCGCGTTCCCCGAGCTGGATTTCGAGACGTCCTTCATGACCACGGAGGGCGACAAGACCGCGCAGGCGCTCTACCTCCTCGGCGGCAAGGCGCTCTGGACGAAGGAGCTCGAGGTCGCGCTGCGCGAGGGCGCCGTCGACATGCTCGTGCACTGCTGCAAGGACGTGCCGACCGTGCTGCCGCCCGGGTACGAGCTCGCGGCCATCCTCGAGCGCGAGAATCCCGTGGACAGTTTGGTGGTGAAGAAGGCCTTGCCGTACAAGACGCTGGAGGAGCTGCCGGATGGGAGTGTCGTGGGCACGAGCAGTGTGAGGCGGGTTGCGCAACTGAGGAGACGGTTCCCGAAGCTTGTGTTTATGGATGTGGTGAGCGTATTGACACGAGACTCTCGACATTGACCCACACTATGCTCTCTGCGTCCAGCGGGGGAATCTGTACGTCTGCGTTTCCGCTTGAATTTCTTCACATTAACCCTCCCCAGAAACACCCGCGTAGCCAAGCTCGACGCGCCCGACGGGCCCTACACTGCGCTCGTGCTCGCCAAGGCCGGGATGGTGCGCGTCGGCATGGGCGAGCGCATCACGAGCGACATCGGTCCGCCGACGCTCTTCTACGCCGTCGGGCAGGGCGCGCTGACGATCGAGATCCGCGGCGGCGACGACCGCGCACGCGAGCTCGCCGGCACGCTCACACACTGGCAAACGCAGTACAAGTGCCTCGCCGAGCGCGCGTGCCTGCGCATGCTCGAGGGCGGGTGCAGCGTCCCCGTCGGCGTCGACTCGCAGCTGCAGACGCGGGGCGAGGGCAAGGGCGTGCTCAAGATAACGGGGTGTGTCACGAGCTTGGATGGGCAGACGCATGTCGAGCATACGCTTACGGAGGAGGTGGCGTCGCCCGACGATGCAGAGCGGGTTGGGCAGCAGCTGGCGAAGACGTTGCTCGAGACGGGGGCCAAGGCGATTCTGGAAGACGTTACGAGGGACAGGCAAAAGCGCTCGGGGGAGCTCAAGTCTGCCAGCGAGGCCGCAAAGATAGAGGCAACGATGGAGGGCACGGCATCGTCGTGAAGTATTGTATTGCTGTATCTACCACTGTTGTAAAACAAAACATAGACATGCCTGCACGTCCTCGTTCCCCCTCAGCCCATATCCCGACAGCTGAATGATATGTCCCTCGCCGTTCCATATTCGAAAGTGCTCCTCAATAATGCACCTCGACAGCGACGAGCGAGATTCTTCTCTGCGACCCCGCGAGCGCTTGCACGTCCCAGCTGTGATGTATCGGGATAACAAGTGACTCTAGAGCGGGGGCGGTAAAGACATTGGAGAAAAGAAAAGCGCGAGCAATCTTCTTTCCTTTATATTCCCTCACGGGTATTTGCGTGTGTTTGGCAGCGAGTACTTACTCGGATAGCGATCCGAGAAGGCAGCGACCAGGGAGGTGTGGCGCGCGCTTTTGTGCTCGCCCTCCATCGTTCTTTCCTTTTGTCTTTCGTCTGCATGGCGGGCATCGCGTCAAGGAGGCTGCAGAAGGAGCTGAAGGAGATACACACCCAGGGATGCCCCGTCGGTGAGCACAGGTGTCTCTCATATAGCTCAATTGCCGCTGCTCACGGTTTGGTATACGCACAGGTATTCAGCTGCTGAACGCGGATAACTTCGAGGAATGGCATCTCTCGCTCGAGGTCATGGGCGAGAGCCAGTACCAGGTGAGCTAGCCCCTTCCGCTTGCGCTCCGATTACGATGTGTATTCATGCATGGTCAGGGAGAGGTGTTTGCGCTCAAGTTCCGCTTCGAGCCGCAGTACCCCATCTCCGCGCCCGCAGTGCAGTTCATCATCAACGAGAAGTACAAGGCGCCCGTGCACCCGGTATGCCCCCTGCCTCCTCTTGCACGACCTCACCTTCCTTACCGCTGCGCATGCACAGCACGTGTATTCAAACGGTCATGTACGTCTGCATTCCCAGCCCAAGGTCCAGATTGCGCCAGCGCTGACCGTTCTCGCTGACATAGATATGCGCCTCCATCCTGGGTAACGAATGGTCCCCCGTGCTGAGTGTGATCGGTGTGTGCGTCACGCTGCAGAGCATGCTCGCATCATGCAAGGTGCGTTCCCCCTTCCTTCTCGTCCGGGGCGCTGAGTGACGGCGTGTCCTGCTTGTAGAAGAAGGAACGGTATGTCTCCATCTGCTCTTCATGCGGCTATATCCAGCCGTGCTAAAGGCCACTTGGTTCACCCCAGACCGCCCGACAACGACCGCTACGTCATGCATGCACCGGACAATCCCAAGAAGGTTCGTAGTGGTTATTCTTCGTAGCTCCAATGTGACTGAAAGATGTCGCAGACGCGGTTCCACTACCATGGTATGTATTCCGTGTTCACGATTACCCTAGATACTGACCTGTATTCATCCCCGCGGTGGTGCAGATGATACGTAAGTAACCCAACTTACTACACCTGAGCTGCTGATCTTATATGTCCTTCACCAGGGTATAATCCCTAGCTGAAATTACGATGAACAGGGTATGGACGTTTCTCTTGGGGCATCACCGCATGTATTCAGCCGCACATCTCATTTGTACTCCTATTGTTGTTTGGTCATGGCATATTTATCGCACCTGCAGTGTAGCCGCTCGCTTGGTTCAGCCTTGACGTCCGCCGGGGTTTGAGAGACGTTTGAGCTTCTTTTACAAGGTACCCTTGGATCTCGGTAGAGGCAACTTCACATTCCTGGTCATGAAACAACCAGACCGCGTGGCTCGGGTCTGTTGCAACGCAAGAGGCGAGATTAGATACTACATGATAATATAAGATAGTGGGTAATCCACAATAAATAACGACCGTCCCAAAAAGCCCTAATAACCAAGGCATGGTGGGGGTATCACTGGGTCAAACGTCAGCCCGCGCAGACACGGCAGCCAGGAAGGTAAACTTACATAGTACTCGATCTCAAGCTGCCAGGTAGAAATCAGAATCGGGAGACGTGTAGCAAGGGAACAGTTGCACGCACGAAGAGGAAAGCGACCTTCCTCGGCCAGAGGATGTTCAGCCCGACGGGGTTATACAGCTCTTCATTGAAATGGTTGATCGTACGCTGTAGCCGCTCCATTTCCTATTTACCACGAACGTGCAAGTCAGGATCACTGCACAGGCACGAGTGGGAAGCATGAATTACGATACCTTTTCGTAGTGCGACTTGAAAAACAGCCTGGACAACTGCAGGCTGAAGACAGCCAGTGCGTTGTCGACGAACGCGTGCCGCAGGCTGTACGCTGAGATGAGCAGCTCGTTGATCGCGTTCATGGTCTCCAGGAACTGCGTCGGCGTTATCTGGCCACGGAATAAAATCAGTAAAGCGCATTACGCCATCCAATCTACTTACCCGGCCTTCCAGCTCGAGTGGGTACGTGAGGGAAAACTGGATCAGCTCGCCCCCGGAGTAGTCGCGCTCGATGCGTAACACTTCCCTCGGGAAGTGGACGCCTATCTGGCCTATGGGGTCGGTCCCATACGCAGATGTGGGCGGCGGAGGGCCGAAGTAATACGATGACTTGGGGATGAGCGTCCGCTCGCCGTCCCTGTGAGCAATTCAAGTCAGTCGACGCGACCCACGAAGATCAAAGCGCACGTACGTCCGGTTCTGCGCCCGGCTGTGCTTCACGCTCGCCGTCGCCGTCGTCGGCGGGTCGAACACCTCCCACGGCACCGGGCTCGGCGGCTTCAGGTCCAGCTGCAGCGGGTGCTCGCTGATCCTGCGCTGCCGCTTCGACGTCCACGTCCCCACGCGCGTCGCCTCGTCCTCCTCGCCCCCCTCGGCCAGCACGTCCTTGATATTGACTAGGCCGTCCCCGCTATTGCCGTTCCTATCCCAGTGCGTGGCCTCCGACTCCTCCAAGTGATGCCCCGCATTGCGCTCCTGCTCCTGCTCGGGCTTCTCGCTCTCGTTCGTGCCGACGCGCGTGAGCGGCGGGCTGGGGGGCAGAATGGTCGGGGGTGCAACGTGCAGTCCGAGCTTGCTCATCACAGGCGCCTCGTCCTTCTCCTCCTTCGCATCATCGGTCTCCCCTCCCGACCGGCCTGCAGCGTCTTCGCTTCCCCTTCCTATGACAATTTCTGGCATCTCCCGACTGCGCCGCTGGGGCGTCTCTCGGGAGCCGTCATACCCCGAGGAGGTGGAGGGCGGCGTGTCCGGAAGTGCGTGTGTTGAGTCTCGAGACGCAGCGGGTAGGTTCTCTTCATGAGAATCCGTGATGTCGATCGGATTGGATGCGGACGACATGGCGGGTCCGAGGAATGAATGCACCCGACGCCGGAGAAGAATATACAGCTAAACGAGTGACACCGACTGAGGCGTTGTAAGAGGAGCAGAGAGTATCACAAAGTACTGAAAGTGCACTGTACAAGTGCATGAGAGTCGAGACAACTGTGGCTGTGGCTCTCGCCTGATTAGGCCGACTCTTGAACGTCAGCATTCGTCCCATTCCGCCATTTCGCCTCAACATCCATCACACCTCAGCAACTCTGAACAAGCCAGCGACACATTATTATACTTTCCTATGTGCATAATTACAGGAGTGACGAGAAACCAACTACATACTATGATAATACAGCCAATAGATACACCAGCCATACCACATGCAATGTCATAACGTGTCGTAACAAATGAACAAGAACAAGAAACTTATGAGACAGGCTCTGCTTTCGGTGCATGCTGCATCGGCAATGGCGTCGCCCTTGGCCCAGGCGGCGACCCAGCAGGATGATGGATGACGTCCGAGATCTTGCTGCGCGGAGGAGGGAGCGGTGGTGTTGATCCAGCAGACCTACTGGGATCTCTGCGCATGGGATCGTCGCCTGGCGGAGAACCAGTAGACGTAGGAGACAATGTAGCGATAGGAGGAAGAGTCATATGCTGCGATGGACGCGACGCATGGCTAGACAATCCAGCACCGATCGGACGAGGATGAGGGGGGAGCACAGCAGGCAACGGTGGACTAGGCGGAAACGCGTGTGCGCCCTCCATTTGCTGACGCGACTCCGGCGAGTGCGACGAAGGCTGCTGACGGAAGGGTATAGGCGAGGGCCTTGTCGACGGACCGGGCGTGCGTCTGCCCGCGGAGGGAGATGAAGCGCGACGCTTGAGGCCTTCCATCCGCGACCGCTTCATTTCGCCCATCTCCTCAGGGCCAGGGCTCAGCGGCCTCTTCATGCTATTCGTCGGCATGGGCGGCGAACCATGTCCATGACTCGATATTGACCCGCGATGCGACAGAGGAACACGAGGTGACGCAGGCGGACGACCCAAAGCTGACACATGAGGCGAGTGAGAAGACGACCCGTTCGCGGACGGGGCACGAGCATCGCCGCCACGGTACGACGCCAATCCCATAAGAGCGTCAGCAACGCCCTCATCATAGTCTTCGTCCACAACTCTGTTGGGAGGATGAGCGCTCGCACTACTCGGCGACGGCTGCACCGACCTATTCGCAGACCCAGACCCAGACCCGTTATAGCTCGCAGGCTCCGGCGTACCGTTCGCGGGCTTTGGCAGCGGCGTGTACGTATTCACCTTGAAGGACGGCACTTGGTGACCCATGGTCGGCCGCTCGCCCGAGGGACCAGGAGGGAACGGCTTCGGCGTCTCCGTACGGGATTGAGACTCGTCCTTCGCCCGTCTCCCTGCTCTCCGCTTCCTCTCCTTCTTGGGCGCCGGAGCGTCAGTACCAGCGTTGGAATCGCTGTCCTTGTCCCTCGTATTCCGCCTACGACGATCCCTCGGCTCTGACTGAGCCATCTGCACAGACGAGATCGGGCTCTCCGAGCCGTGATGAGGGTTGATCATGTGAGGCGGGGGAGGAGGCGGCAACGAGCTCCGAACGCCCCTCATACTCTCCGGCGACCCAGCGTAGCTGCGACTCTCGTGGCGATGGTCCATGGCTAGCATTTGCTCGCGCTCGAAATCCCTCGCGACCGGGGCTTCCCTGGCATCATACCGCGGATCATATCGCCTACCGCTCATCTCCATTGGCGGCTGGGGCGGAGGCGACGAGTGTCGGAGATGGATGGAGCCAGGAGCAGTACCAGGACCGCTCGGCTTGGTCTCCCAGTAACGAGACCCCCCAGAATGCAGCGTGGGCCGGACACCCGCATCAGGGCTCCGATCGCGAGGAGTATGCGACCGATGAGACATGGGGGAGAGCGCGCGAGGCGGAGGGTACATCTGTCCTTGCGAAGGGTGGACGGGGTACTCGGCAGAGTGTCTGGCCCTGCGCTCACGCTCCCAGTCTCGGTGCTCGCTAGGCACAGCGGGTCGACGTTCCCAAGCTTGCTCTCTATCCATGGGCGGAACGGCCTCATACGCGTAAGCACGAGGCGACCGTTGCGATGACGCTTGCCCGGGACCCATACGTCCACGAGCTGAAGGCCCACCATACCCTGGGTACCCAGGTGGACCAGGAGGTGATCGAGGACGACCACCATGAGGAGGCGGGGAGGTCGAAGTAGACGGTACACGGAGAGGCGGACGACCTGCATAAGGATCATGTAGATGAGGCTGCCCACCAGCGCCACGAATCTCTTCCGGCGGGAATTGCTGCTGAGGAACAGGATGGTGAAGTAGGATACTCTGATGACCCGCGGGACCGCGCGAAGGAGTCTCAGGACCAGGAGGATAGGCCGACGAATGTCGACCATGCAGCGGTGGACGATCGACCTCCATCCGAGCCAGTGGGGTGTGCGTAGAAATCTGACGGCTCTCATCAACCACAACGGGAGGTGGCGGTCCACCTCTGAACGGACCAGGAGACGACGTTCTGGGGGCAGCCACCTGAGGAGGGGGCGGCAAAGCGAGGCTACCGTCAGTGGGCGGCGGACCTCTCGACTCCGTCCTGAAGAGCGGGCGCGGATGGTGGGTCATCTGCAGCGACATCGGCGGCCCAGGTGGCGGGACAACGGCACTCGCGTATGCAGTCGGGTGGACATCCTGAGGACCGGGGGCAGCGGGCAACGCACTCCCGGTCGCCTGCGCCTGCTTGAGCAACTGCAAGCGCTGAGAGATGACGGGGTTTGTCGGGTCCAGTTCCGCCGCTCGGGCATAGGCGTCGATGGCATCCGAAATCTGATTGTTGCAGCTCTCATATAAACTGCCCAAGTCAAACCAGACCTCCGAGATGTACGGGTTGATGCGAATGGCACGGGAGTACGCGTCCAGGGCGTCGTGGAACTGATTAATCTGGAAATAGAGCACGCCAATCGAGCACCAGAACGTCGGGTTGCGGCCATCCCTGTAGACAGCCTGCTGATAAGCTTCGTACGCCTTGTTGTACTTCTGGCCGGCCATGTACGCGCGCCCGAGGAGGTACCAGCTCTGAGCGTCGGAGGGGTCTGTTGCATTTTCGTTCAGCGACACGGCCGTGAAACATTCCAAGGGGGAGATCGTACCGGCTTCGAGACTCTTCGTGAGGTACTGGATGGCGAGGTCCTGGTTCTGGAACGAAGAGCCATCCTGGTGGTATAGCCAGCCTAGCTGCTGGAGGACCTTGGCGTGACCCGGATTCTCGGCGACGACGTGCTCGTACGCGTCCTTCGCATGCAAATGCTACACACCGCAACATGAGGACAAGGATGGAAACGCGATGCCATAAGACTTACATCTTTCTGTTGCTCGTAGACATGGCCAATCTGGAACCAGATGTCGGCATGGGCCAGAGGACTCGGAGGATTACGTAGGATGTCCTCGAAGCACCTGAGAGACTCGTTGTATTTGCCCTGCTGTTTATAGATGATTCCCAGGCGGAACAGGATCTCGTTCGATTTATCAAAGTCTATTCAAACGGAGACGGTGAGCCGCTACCCACGTCATGGAATGGGTGAGAAACACTCACTCTTGTCCATTCTCAGGACGGACGCGAATGCGTCCTCGGCGTGGTCCAGGGAACCATATCGATCGTACAGGATACCGATGCCGTACCAGAGCTTCGGGTCCTCCTGTGCAGCGTGGGTATGAGCTGTGTACGGCAGAAGATGGGAAGCTGCGCACTTTGGGGTTCGGGAGCAGATACAGGGCCTGCTGGTACGCGGCATAGGCCTTTTGCAGATCGTCCTGCATCAGATAGCAGTGGCCTGCGGAGTGGGCATGTGAGCAAACAAGGACAGACAACGGGCAAACACGTGCTTACCGAGTGCGCTCCATACCTCGCCGCTGTCCTGTTGTATGGCGAGAACACGTTGGAAGTACTCGACTGCCTGAAACAAGCAAGACGTTTAATATCAGTATCCGCAGATGACGCCTAATCTCAGATCCGGACCATCCAAAAGAGGAAGTTCCCACGCGATAACCCCAGGAGCCGGACAGGCTAAACGTCACTCTGCCCCACGCCGGAGAAAGCACGTCCGGAAGCGTCTAATACGTATTTAAATCTCACCTTTGGGTAATTCTCCTTGATCCGAGCGATCCCGGCGACCTGGGTGAGCCCAGTGAGAGACATCGGGTTGTGCCGCAGCGCGTTCTCATACGCCGACAAGGCATGTTCGAGATCGCCCATCTGCTCAGCGACACTGCCTGAACGTGTGCCGTATTGTTGTCAGCGAGGCGGCCCATCACTTGGTCAATCACGCGAAACCCGACGCACCTATCAAAAGCCACGTTTGTTCATTTGCCTGAGTCAACTTCTGTATGGACAGAGGCACTGCCGATCGATTAGGGAGGTTGGGGGAGGTGTGCGTCGGCGAGACGATCTGGTGCTGCGCGTGCGGGTGCCCGGAGCCGTTGGGTATCGGGGCAGGAGTGGGCGGAATATTTCCGTTGACATGGTGCGGCTGGGGGGGCACCGACATGGCATGGGCGTGGGGCGGGTGCGGGTGGTCGACGAGCATGTCGCGGTCGGCCTGGCGCGGGGTCTGTCGATGGGACATCGCTGTGGGGGGCGACGTCGGCTGCAGCGAGCACGACGGAGGGGACAGCGAGGAGGGGGCACGGGGGAGGGACAGCGACACGTGTGCGGTGGTGGGACGAGAGGGGCGAAGAAAGGACATCAAGGAAAGCGACGGCGGGGATATATAAGGCTGCGGCCTGATCAGGGTCTAATAATGATCAGAGAACGATCTGCCAAATGAATCTCGTTGCAGAGAAGCACCTCCCAAGACCCGCGTGCCTCCATGTCCCTTCTTTCTCCTTTTCCGTATCTTCGGATCCGATTGCCATCGGCGAGTTCTTCCATCAAGATCTTGCAATCTCGCCCGTCCGCTTTCGGTTAGCGGCAGTCAAACAGCCTATTCGACACCAGACATGTTTGCTCTTCGGGCTTCCCGCTCAGCTGCTGTCTGGCCGTGCGGATCCGCCCAAGGGCTGGCGGTAGCCTGGCATGGCAACACATCGCATGTTTCTGCATGTCGGGCAGGCGCCCCCCCTCGCGTCCCGGCGGCGAGCAGCACATGTTCTTCCCGGGAGTATCGTTAAACAAGGTCAGGGCCGCGACGGAAGCTATGAAGCACGGTGGATCATCATCGGGATGTTGTGTATGTAACGTGTAAGCGAGGTAAATTTCTGTTTCCTTTTGCGGAGAAGGCCGGACCGGCTTAGTCAGCTGCGGCTTCTTGCTTGTTGCTAGCTTCCATTTGCCAATTGAAACGCCAACCGAAGTCTAATTTAAGTCCGACACTCCGATCGAAGAGCTTCTCGCGCCTGCCCGGTATGGGCGACACGTGTCGGTGCATCGCACGATCTAGACCGGGCGCTTCTGCCATGATCGTCAGCTATCGGCTGACAGCCGTGACAGTGACAGGTCAGGGCGAATTTCTTATTTCATGACGCTGCCGCTGAAGTCATGTCGTTTTGGCATCAGGCACACGAAGCCGACGTGCTCAGATCGCCCCTAACTGATGCATGCTGTGCTGACCGGCCCACACGTAACCGACCCGAGCCCGCGAGGCTGCTGGTCGTGGATGCGGCCGTCTGAAGCAAAACATATCATGGCTTGACGGGGTTGACTTTGCGCTGCTGTTGGCCGCCAGGAAGGGCGGTCGGTCGTGGTGTAAATCCAGCCGAGAAGCCCAGGGTATGCGGGTGCGCGCTTCTCTGACACGTTATGGGCCCCGCGGAGTGTGACGAGAGCCGGAGGGATGTCCGACTGCCGACACCCGCGATCAGAAAGGCGGTGGATGGACCGGATCTGCCTTTCGACAGCCACTGCGCCGTGTGGGGTGCCCCTTTCTGCCCGGCACAGACAAGTCGTCCGTTGCATTTGATCTGGCGTATAATACAGCGTTTGTACGGGCATAGCGTCCAACAGCTTGCTATATACGGTGCCTAGATCGCCATACGAGATAATTATGCCCATCTCGATCCCAGCCCCATGACGGGCGAAACACACTTGGCGGCATCATCATATCCGATAACCCATCCGCACGTCCAGCTGCCCATCGGCTCGCGGATCGTCGTTTATCCTAGCCTCCCACTTATCATCTGCTCCTCGCAACGTCCTTCCAGCAGCTTCCCTGCTCCAGTTCGTCCCCACAACGTAACTTTGACAGCGCATGCATTGACATGACAGCGCACTCAGCGCCCAAGTTTTCTCGCAGGAAACTCCGGGGGACAGGCGCCGCTGGCCAGATAAATGGGCATCATCGCCCTCGTAATTTCTCGCCGATCTGCTCGCCGGCTCAAATTGGACGAGTGCAGCGCAGCGAGCGAGATGGATCTCATGTCTGTCGCGCCCTGATGTACAGCCGCGAACGCGTCCGAGCATTCGCTCAGCACATCGGAGACATGGAGGTCACCGCCCCCCTACACATGTAACGACGGGTGCGGCACGTACATGAGCGGGCACCTCGTCACAGCAGCGCGCAAGGCATCCGATGCTCGCAGCGCTACAGTGCATGTATGTACCACGGCCGGGCGCATTTCCCCCCCTCAGTGGCGTCTGGACCCACTAAATAGTCCTGCTGCCATAACCTCGGCAGAATTCCGAATCAGAGACGCGGCGACCTAGTGGCGACCTCCCACATGAACGTCGACCCTTCGCCAACTTACGATAGCTCTATGTATGCCGTATCCGGCCAATGGAAACTCAATCAGTGCGTGTGCATGATGATGGGTGGGTGGTTCGGGTTCGTTTCCCCACTGGCGTTCACCACTGCTTCGTGATTAGATCAAAGTTGGATACACGGGCACTCGGGAACTGAGAGTTTCCCGGTTCGGATTCGGAAGAGGCGTTGCGGAGCCTGGGAGACGGACCGAGAGGGTGGGGGCCACTGACACTGATCATCACTCGCACACGTCCTTGTAGTTTAGGAAAGTCGACGCCAGCGAACGGGGCTCAGTCCATATACGACATCGTGTCCTATCGCTGCCAGAACACGTCGGGCGACAGCGGTGACGGTAGCGGGGGCTGCGATCATGTAGTATGTAAGTTGGACGGGTACCTCTCTCCGTCTGTCTGTCAGACTCGCAAGAACCTGGATACGGTGTGTCAGCGCTTTGTTTGCTTCATTCCTTGTTCCTCAGAATTCCTTTCCTTATGCCTGATGCGTCGACGCCCGTGATTACCGCCGGGACCCCACGCCGTTCTAATGCCTACTATTCCCCGTAGTGTGTCCCACCGCGCCTTCTGGCTCCGCACGGGTGCGAATAGGCTCAGAGGGAGTCGAGAAGAGATACACATACATATGGGAATCTCCTCCTGCCTTGTTATCATCTTCGAATTCCATTCAATCCGAATTCGGGAGTTCGCTGTCGTGGGTGCGGAACGACCCAACTTTAAGCTTCTTGGTATTTGGCAACGTGCGAGCAGAATCCGGCTGCGCGTTCACCGGGACAGACGGGTCTCGAAAACCCAAGACGTCACGACGTCGCTGTCAAACCAGGCCGAGGAAGTGGTTTCAAGCAAGTAAACAATCAGACCCTATATGCAGGGCCGTGCAGGGTCCTACGCTTACACGACTGGTAGTCGTGAGAATCTCCGTCTAAGCGTGAGAGCACACCGCACCCTCGATTACTTCAAACCATGCTGGCCGGGAACTCCCGTGCCCATCTACCACCCGTCCCGATACGTATCTACCTTCGAAGCTTGCATAAAGCTGCCATGACTCGTGAGCCCTCCTACCCCTCTGCCTCCGCCGCGCTGTGTCGATTCACCCATAGGTCGCGCTTCGCTCTGAACATCACGATGACTAGGCGGTGACCAGCGGGAGCGCGATCGCCAGAAGGCGGCGAAGAAGCTCGCGGAGAAGAATAAGGGCAAGCCGAAGGATGGCTTGAGCGTCGAGAAACGCAAGGAGCGGTACGGCCTCGTACGTCTCTGTGCACACTGACGCGATCTCACTGGGACATGAAAGGGATGCGGAGATCCTGAGGCAGAAACAGCAGGTGCGCACGCGTCAGCGCTCGTTGACCGACCGGCACTGATCGATACTCCCCGTCCAGAAAGCATTGGAACTGAAGCAGAATGGCGGTGCTGGTGGTGGCGGCGGCGGCAAATGACCTTGGCGCGCCTGCACTCCGTGCCACTCGGGTTGCAGGATCTATATGGATCACTCGCTGGGTCCGGACGTGTTTGAACCATCATGCACGTCGGGCGGCGGGTCCGGGAATTTCGGGAATCGCGGTTGATATGGACTCTTAGATGCGCTTTGCTGTGTTTGTAATGTGTTTCCGGCTATCTAATCTTTGTCTTTGGCTCGCACTCGCACTCGCACTTGCGCATACACGTATGCATAAACAGCCAGTCTGGTATGCGTCCGAGAGTGGTAAGAATGTCGCATCTTGATTCGTCGCAGAGCATCATCTTACTCTCGGCATCCTGTCGTCAGACATCTGTCAATGACCACTGTCTGATACAGCACAGGCTCCGGCATGGTCTAAAGCGATACCTGTCGCCGCCAAACCCAGCGCCCGGTGCTCATGGGCCTGAGATCGTTAGATGCGGCATAACCGGCTGTTCTGCTAGACACCGCAATCAATCATTGCCAGCATTGATGGTGCTGATGACTCGGAGCGTATGCCATGGACATACATATATAATCCCGCGTTGCGCAGGACTTTGAATCAGGCGAAGCCAATCTTGCGATCTGGATTTGCCACAATCATGTTGCCTGCGATACATCATCCGGATTACACAAGACCGTGGACGGACCGGGGAGAGCGAGCTGTGTCATAATAAAAGATAAGACATGGTCCTCACAGTTGCATATACAGTATAAAAAGCGTAGACGTGGACGTGCTGTCATTTGCCTTTAGCTCCTGGGCCACCCTCAATCCTTCTTCTGCGGCTTGGAGTCCCGGGCTCATCATCATCCGCGCCCCAACCAGGGGCTGGAGAATAATACCGCTGTTGTGGGTAAGGCGAGGCAGGCATGATGGGGAAGGACGGCTGGTGTTGCAAAGGCGGTACACTCGGTGTAGGAGGGACCGGGGCGTACTGCCTGAGGTAAAAGTTGAACACCGTGTTCGCGAATATCGTGAAGAACGAAATCGAGGTGACGGTGAATATCTAAGGTGCGTCACGTAAGTTCGCGGGAGTCAGAATCATTTCTTACGCGACGTTAGGGTGGAGGAAGGCTTACGAGTGTCTTCCAGCTGATTGGCTCGACGAAGCCGTTGATAACTTCTGCGATCAGCTCAGCGCCGACTCTTGCCCGCCCGACTTTACTCGGGTCCCGGTTCATACATGTCTCCCAGGTGGCGCATTGGTGGGTCATGGCCGGGATGGGATTGGTCTCGCATAAGTTGTTCCGGTATTGGAGCGCGCATGCCGTAATTTCCTGCACGATTTCTTGGAACAACCCTTCAGGCATTGGAGAGGCATGCGTCACAAGGAGCCTCACCTCGAGAGTATTCAGATATACGTTCTTCAACATCTCGTTGAACGGTTAGAATAAATTGAACCAATAGGTATAGGAATATGAGGACAAGAGAGGTGTTGAAGATGAATTGGGTGTATCTGAAGCACGTCACGTCAGGTGACCGCATAGTACATGGATATCACACTCACCCAATCAAGATATAAGGCGTATCTGACTTGGGGGGCGCAGGGGCCGACATATTCAGTGTGTAGTGGTTGGACATATTCTGCGGGAAGGGCGACCTCGCTCTGACAGCACCCTCCTCTTCACTGCCGCTGCCGCTGGCCTCTTCTTCGCTTTCCGCTGCTCTGCGTGAAACGGCCAGCCTACTCCTTTCTCGCTTCTTCTGTCTCGCCCTAAACACGCGCCTCATCGCGCCCGTGGCTATTGCTCTCGCACCTCCGCCCGCCCCATTCTTGTCGTCCGATCGAGGCGGAGTCAGCTCCGCCATGTCGACGTCTTTCACATCTTGCTGTTCAGAAGGCGGGAACGCCTTTATAGGAGAGAAGCCTGGCGGGGGTGTCCATGGGTGAGGGGGTTCGCTTTGCGGTGGAGGGGTCTGAAAGATGAATGGGATGTTGGTGTTGCCGCCGAAAGTTGGTCGCTGCGGCGTGCTGGGGAATACAGGAGAAAGCGGGTTCGAGTCAGTGTGGGGGCCTGATTTTGGTCAGCTCTCAGAGAGTACGTGGCATGAAGCCAGTCGGCACGTACGTTTCCGCGGAGAACCACCTTCGTCAGACGAACTCGCCCATACAGGTTTCGTGTTACTGCTGGGCCTAGACGTGAACTGGAAGTCCATCGGCGCCTCAGTCGAGCGCTGCGAGCGTAGTATGCCCGCCATTTTATTTAAAGCAGTTTATACGGTGCAAGTCAACGAGGCAAGCACTCGGAAAGGTCGTCCACGTAGGGCGGAGCAAGAAAACGTTGCGCAGGAGCAGCCGCAGCGGCGATGTGGGACGCGTCCATCACGTGATCGATTTACCCGTTCGGGACTGGCAGTTAGGCGCGCGTCACCGACGCTTGCTTGCGTCCCGCCACTTCAGCCGCTGCAAGGCCAGCTACGATACCGGATTTCCACAAAAGATGTTTTCGTTACAGATGATCAGGCCTGTTATATCAGCAGCGAGGTCGTCAACTCGGACATGCACAAGGAGATTTCATCCATTGGCTTCAGGCACAAACTGGTCCTCACCTTCAGCTAACCTGGTGCCAATTGTGATCGAACAGACCGTGTGTTCCTTATTTGTTGTGTTCTTGTTATTACTGAAGTATAAACATGCTAGGGCAGGGGTGAGCGGTCGTATGACATCTTCTCCCGTCTACTGCGCGAACGCGTAATCATGTTATATGGACCAGTACGTCAGACTACCCATTGCGCTGGAATCTCCTTTCATACCATAGTTTCACAGATACGCGATACTGACTCTGCACTTACGGTGGCTCAATTGCTCTTCCTTGAAGCGGAGGACTCTTCAAAGCCTATCCACCTATACATAAACTCACCCGGAGGGAGTGTCACAGCCGGCATGGCTATTTACGATACAGTAAGGTCCGAGCGTCATACCTGATGTGCTTTAGCCATAACCAATTGCTTAGATGCAGGTTAGAAGGCATCCTCCATCCCCGGAATAGCACTGAATGCCCGAACAGTATGTATCATCACCCATCCACACCTACTGCGTGGGACAGGCGTGTTCCATGGGATCCCTATTATTGGCAGCTGGTGAGTTCTGCACTAACCGTGTGGTAATCTTAACCTTCTTTTGTATCCAGGAGAGCGTGGCCGAAGACATTGCCTCCCCCACGCCAGCATCATGATTCACCGTGAGTATTCATAGCTCGACAAACACCTGGCTCAAGATAGTGACCCATGACCTCTCGTTATCTAATCAGAACCTTCCGGAGGGGCTTCGGGTCAAGCTTCCGACATCGCTATACACGCCAAGGAGATTCTCCGTGTGAGGGAAGTGCTGACACGGATATATCAGAGGCACTGTGCTAAAGAAGGAGAGAGCGATGCTGAAGGGTTACAGCGGTTCGGTGAGTTACTTTGTTACACTTGGTGCCTCGCCGGCAGTCCTGGTATATTAACCGCTCGCCATACAAACGCTGTATATGACCCACTCAGAGAAAGCTCTGGAGCGCGACTATTTTATGACCGGTGCGTATTACCGCTATTAATTGTATGACATACGTCTGAATCGCAGATATCGCTCACAGCTCAGGAAGCACTTGACTTCGGGATCGTTGACGGTATCCTGGAGAAGAGGCCTATTACAGATACTGAAGCTTAATGCGAGTTCCGCGGGGGTAGCTTCCGATTCGCATACCTCTAAAGCACATGCAGATCCGGCGCCCGCCTTATACCCGACCCTTGAGACATTGACGCCATGAAACTTCATGCACGGTCCCGTTCATCGATTCCCATGTATCCCGTGACAGTCAAGCGTGGCAGCACTGGAGAAGGGCGAACTTCTATCGTCCCTTCAGCGCTCCATGGCTGCGGATTCTTTCACCGGGAGAGAGCGAGTGTCGACTAGCTTGTGCCGTTCCTCAGTTACCTGATAAAGGCCAGCGGCCTTTAGGAGCTTACGCCCGCGTTGTACTCATGCACGTTGAGCAACGCATGTTTGCCTTGATCTTATTCATTAACCTTGTTTCGTAGTTGTTCGCAGGAGTCCGTTTCCAGGGAGGCTTTCGATTTCTCCGTTATGTTCATGCGGCATCTCTGCTCAACATACGGCCGCCCGTAGCCGGATGTGCCGGAAGTGTAAGTGAGTGTATGAGAGTAAACAGGAGAAGATGATGGACCATCATGTAAGTCGTCCTATCAGATAAACTAGCGGACTTCGACTGCATTCATCCTAAATTGAACGGGCCCGGGGTATAAGTCTTGCCGTGACCCTCGCAGCATTCCCTCCGTGCCCTTGGTATCCAGTTCTCAGCGATCTTCGGAAGATATACCGAGCCGATGTGATCCCAATGGTGAGTGCACTCGGTTGCTTTTGAGGGTCCCCGGACTAACCGCCTGCCCATAGAATCCGATATACCACATGCGCAGTGGCCCTGACGCCAGTGGCTTGGTCGCGAAATACCATAGGCTCCCCGGATTAGCGGATACGAAGGTAAAAGAGCCCCGCTCCTGACCTTTTCTGTTCGCTGTGGAGGCACTAGTCACGCACTACGTCCGCGGGTTTCCACCACAGTGGCTCGCCTATTACCGCGACTAGTGCGACCTTTCTCTACGCCGAGTGTATTGAGAGCTTACGCCGGGACTGACGTCCGCCAGCCGTGCAGTTCCTGTATTTGGCCGTTGCTCAATACATACATCTCGAGGATCTCATACGGTCCTCGCGGGAGGCAGGCGATAGTGGGTCAACACACCGCTTTGCAGGCGTATCGCGATCCCTCCGCCGTCCTCGCATGAGCACAGATGAGGACCCTCTCCAGCTCGGAACTGGAGCTTCGCCAACTCCGCTAGCGTTTAATTGAGTTATTGCTATGCACCCTCAGCTTTAGCTCTGGTGGTCTATGGGGTGCTAGGCGCTGCGGAGCCTGTAAGGCACGAGGGAGGGATGGTGCGTTTATCACATTCGGTGGTATCATTCTCATGATACTTGCACCGAAACTTACATCACTAACGCAGGTAAGGAAACTGCGGTCCGAGTGCATTTTGACTTCGAGCATCCTGCCCCTCCCTGCGAATCTCCTTATCAGATTGTGATCCACGCCGTCCCATTTCAGAACGCCGTCCGTTTCTCCAGGGTCGGCAGCTCCGCGGCGAGCTTGTATGAACCGGCCGGGTGATGGGCCCAACCCAACTCACAAGCGTGCCTATGAGCTCATGGCGGCTAGCTTGTTCTGTAATTTATATGAACGAAGATGGCTGGCCGACCGTATGAAGGAGCTCATACTCGAGTGGGTACGAAAGTTTAACAGCCGAGGTATTGACGAGTTGTGTCCGAAATGGATATGACAGCCGCTTGCAGATCGATAGACCATCAATTTAGAAAACTACGTATAGTCGGAGTGGGTCGGAGTGGGTGCCAGGGACGTCGGAAGAAGGTAGAGAAGTCCAGATGGTCTGATTTCTGTCTCTCGGGGACTTGAAATTGTCAGTCCGACGTGGTCCGACTGTAAATGATTCTCAAAAGTGGGCCCATCCATCTGCAAATGGCTGGAACAGATCTAGCCCTGCTTTTCGCTATAGTGAAGTGCGGGCCGGCTGGAGGGTATGTTGGTGATTGCATTTGTAAGTTCGGGTCGGAGCGTATGGAGTGACTGACGAGCTCGAAGCGAGACAGAAGAGAAGCGGAACCAAAATAGAGCTCGTTGTCCCACAGAACACTGGGTACATCACCCATATTGAGCATGCAGAAAACTGTGAAATTAACGGGTCAAAGGTCAAACTTTTTTCATAATTGTCCATTGCACAATCAGTGAATCGAATTAGAATAATACTACTTTTGAGTGTGCAAAAATCTGATTGTGACACAGGATATGTTCTTTGTTCAGCACTATTCATTGAACTTTCATATGTTTTGCAAGGCAACACTATGAACAAAATTTGACCTTTGACCGGTTTCTTTCACACTTTCTCGGTGGCTCAATATGGGAATTGCACCCAGTGGAACGCAGCCGCAAAATAGATTCTGCTGGGCTTTACCCAGGCCCTTAGTGGATGACTTCCCGTAAGCCAAAATCCTAGATTTCGCAGTTCTAAACGCCATCAGCGTACCTGGTCACACTCGCTGCCACGGTGCAATGGAAAAATAGAACTGTTCCTCCCATCCGTAATGCCAGACCAACGCTCGACGACTGCAAGTCACGACCATGAGGTCGCTTTCCATTTATGGCGAGCGGATCGCTCAATTTAGCAGGTGCTGATGGCAGGTTTGATACGCGGACCTCAACCGAGGCTAAGCGAGCGTTTAGAGTCGTCTGGAGATTTGGAAAGGGGGGTCGACCCCCCCTGCTAGATTTAAAGTTTAGAGACGGTTTTTGCTCGACGAGCCTCATCAAAACTTGGTCTAAGCGAGAGCGTGACAAGACGGCATCTCGGCTTGATGCGTTTAGAGATTTAGAACTGCTAAAAACGCGTTCTAAATGCTTACGGGAAGTCATCCAGTTAAAGTGCGGGGACGCTTTAAGTAGCAGGGCGAGAGCGAGGTGCCCTGCAGCTTCTGGCGGCGGGATGCACTCCCTAGCCTCCCATATGTTAGTACCATTCCAGGTTAGTCCTCGGAACAATCATAATGGAACAGATGAGTGGAAAAGCAGGTACCGCTCCGAACACGCTACGAGCCGCGAAGGCTGCTCGCACTAGACATAAACAAGCAGTGTCTAACTTCCCCTGTCCGAATCACTGGTATCGTGCTTTCTTACGTTCTTCCAGACCTGCCTAATTTGGCTCTTGCACTAAAGATTTGGGTTAGTTCTGCGGTTGGGGCTCCACAAGAATCGCAGTACTATTTGATGAACGTTTTGGATCACGTACTTATAGGCAGAGCACAGTCGACGTATGCCAATACGTAGTCCTTCCCAACAACCGTTCCGCTTGAATACAAGATATGACATCGCTCCGTGTTATCCACAGTTTGCCGCTAATGTGCGTCCAGATGACTGCAGCGGAGTGGAGTTCTCAGCGCACTCAATAAACGAAAATGAGATAACCCGAACTAGTCCTATCGTAGTATGTTTGCCTTGCGCAATAATAGATAACACCTGCTCTTCTTTCACTCGGGCCCCACACAGCCCGACAAGTCCACACCCAGAAACGCCAAACTGTACCTCTCCCCATAAGTCTCCACACTCAAGTTTCCTGCACATAATTCCCTAGTTGGACAAGATAAGAATGAGCAGGGGTTCACGATGACACCAAGCGAAAACCAGTCTCACCGGGGAAGACCCCCTGCCGCCCGTTCAGCCGGCCGGTCCACCAGTCCTCCTGGCTCTCCGTCTTCTCCACGAGCTCTATCCGGTCGCCCGCGCTGAAGCTCAGATCCCCCTCCGCCTATCACGACATCAGTCGCCACCAGACATTATTGCACCGGACGCGTCACGCACCTGCGCCTCGAAATCGTACAGCGCGACCACGTACTGCACGGGCGGCTCCGCCTTCGGCTTGGGCTTCAGCGGGGGCGGGGGCGGCGGCGGCGCCCTCTTCGCAGCGGCAGCGGCAGCGGCAGCAGCGCCGTTCGCGGGCGGCGAGTACGGCGGCGGCGCGGGCTCGGCGGCCTTGCCTCCCGGCGGGGGCGGCGGCGCCTTCTTGTACCCCGCGCCGGAGACGGAGCGCGAGGCGCCCGAGGCGGTGGACGTCGCCGACGCGGAGCGGTTGAGCGAGGAGGGGGACGGGGAGAGCCCGCCGTTCGTGCGGTTCTGCTGGACGAGCTTGGCTGGGGGCGTGTGCGTGTCAGCGGGGAGGGGAGAGGGAGCCGAGAGGGACGTACAGGTGGAGATGATCCGCTGCGTGATGTGCAGCCCCTCGATCGTCTGCCACGCGTCGGAGCGCTTCGTCTCGTACTCCTCCGCGATCTGCGCGCCGGTGACGGACGTGTCGTACTTGCCCTCCGCGAAGCCCTGCAGCTTCTCGAGCAGGAGGTAGAAGATGTTCAGTCTGACGTGCGTTTGGGTTTAGTGGGTGATGTGATTTGTTCGCGACATACGTACTGCATATAAAAGAAGGAATGGAATAATGGGTCGATGAACTGCGTGCTCATCGTCATAAAGCGCGGCAGGTCATTCTTTAGGGCGGTGTTGATGTAGTCGTACTCGTTGGAAGCGTTTTCAAAGTCTTGCTCGAGCTAGTTGGAAATCGCGATGAAGCAAGCCTTCGACGCCTGCATTTATCGGCGCGGTGACGCTATCAAAAACGCACCTTGAACAAGTTCTTCTCGTCACTGAGCGATTTCTCCTTCTTATCCCGCAGTTTCGTCAGGGAGTTGTTATACCGATCATAATCCACGAGCTGTCAAAACGAATCACTCAGCACCGCCCCCCCCCTCCCTACGTCTACGCACCTTATGCTCCCGCTTCGTAATCGTCTTCCTAACCGTCTTCAGCACGCCCTGGTACTCCTTCAGCGGGCCGTGGATCCTGCTCTCGATGAGCTCCAGCTCGGGCGCGACGCTCCCGCGCAGCTCCTCGAGCGCCGCCTGGTACGCGTCGACGTTCCGGATCGTGTGCGCGCAGTCGGGGTGCTTCCCGAGCAGGTCGTACTCGCCCGCGATGGGGTGGAAGAGCGCGTTGAAGTGCGCGGCGAAGGAGGCGCCGGAGGTGAAGAGGTCTGGTGGGGGGGGGGGGGGTTGTAAGGGATGTGAGGGGAGGGATGATAGGCGAGGACGTACGGTTGACGGCGTCGGTGAACGCCTTGGTGTCCTTGAGCAGCTTCTCCGTCGCCTGCTCCAGGCTCGCGAACCGGCGTTGGTAATCGTCGAATTCCGGGTCCACCGACTCTGGAAGGAGACGGATGCGACAAATGACAGACAGGAACCGCAGCGTCCGAGCAATTTAGCCTCGCATACTCCGCCCGAGCACAATACCGACGTACTTTTCGACATGCCGACCTTGGTGGTCACCAAGTGCGGTGTCCTGCCGGGATGGTAGTCCGTTAGACATGCCTTGACGAATACGCCGCACTGCATACCGCTTGATCGCCTTTGTTATGCCCTTCATGCTGGCAGCTTACAGACAAAAGACGGTGCGGCGGATGCGACTGCAGCCCCGCAGCTGGGACGACGGTGAGTGAGCGAGTGCAGCGCCTCCTCCGATAATGATCTGACCAGCGTCATTTACGTAAGCTGACGGAATCAGACAAGTCAAGTTCAGCGATGCCGCGACTTGATTTTGTATTCTATCTTGTATTCACGACTACGACAGCGATGCCCATTAACCAGCCCTCGAACCAGATCAAGTGAAATTGTCGGCCTAGTCTCTGCAGGAGCAGGAACTTCTGACGAGGGATTTGTGCAGACTTACCAATGTATCGATAGTGCGCCTGAAGAAGGGCGGGAAGCGGTTCGAGGTGAGCGTATGCGCCCAACATACGCGCAGTTCATCTCTGATCTACCTTGCGATTCAAAGATCGCGTGTTACAAGAACAAAGTACAGGAATGGCGGACGGGAGTGTAGGTCGTCTGTCCCCGCGGATCGGTTGAGTCGTCCAGGCTGAGGGCTATGCAGGGAGAAGAACCTGGACGACGTCCTCCAGATCAGCAACGTCTTTACGAACGTGTCGAAAGGCGAGGTCGCCAAGCACGGCGACCTGCAGAAAGCCTTTGGCACGGCGGACCGCGACGAGGTCGTGAAAGAGGCACGCCGCCCTTCGCTCCCTTGTTTGCATACACCAACACGCTCTTACAGATCCTGAAGAAGGGGGAAGTCCAGGTCGGCGACAAGGAGCGCGAGCACGACCTGACCTCGCTGCGGAAGGAGATCGCGACGCTCGTCGCGGAGAAGGCCGTCGACCCGTCGACGCAGCGGCCGTACCCCGTCGGGATGATCGAGAAGGCGATGGCCGAGGCGGGGTTCAGCGCGAAGCAGCAGAAGACCGCAAAGAGCCAGGCGCGTCGCCGGTGGAGTTCCACAGCCGGGTTTGCCGCTGACACATCCGCAGGTGTCCGAGTGCATCAAGCTCCTGCAGGACAAGTCGACGCTCCCGATCCAGCGCGCCCGGATGCGCGTGCGCGTGGCGATGCCGGCGGCGGACGGGAGGCGCCTGCGCGAGCGGGTCGTCGACGGCGCGGAGAAGATCGAGGGCGACGAGATGGGCGGGGACGAGTGGGAAGTCGTGCGTGCCATTCAGCCATACGTCAACCACGTCCGGATCGGGACGCTGACGCCGCCGCAGATCATGCTGATCGACCCCGGCCAGTTCCGCGTGCTCACCGAGCTGCTGCAGAAGGAGTGCAAGGGCCGCGGGCGCATCGAGACCATGACGTTTGCCGCCACCGCCGGCAGCTAGATGCCATGTCACTTTGTATCACGCTAGGAATACATGTCACGTCCACTCCGTATTGAACCCGTCCACGTCCCTCAGTATCAGCGGCATCATCACCCGGTCCCAGTTCTCCGTCCAAGTATCCCACTCCCAGTGCGCGCCCTCCGCGCCCGTGAGCGCCCGGTCGCGGTGCAGCTGCGTGTGCGAGAACGACTGCGCGAGCCGCGCGAGTGCGGGGGAGGACGGGAAGGCGGTGAGGAGCGTCTGCCGTGCGTCGGGATCGGACGGGTATATAAGAAAGAAAAATAAACAACGGACCTCGAGTTGCGATGCGAGTTGCTGCGCGTCTTTGAACACGAGCCCGTTGACCCCGTCCTTCACGAGCTCGTGCAGACTGCATGCGTGTCGGCACAGTCGTATTCATATTATCAGGTGGACAGCGCGTCGGCTGGGATGAGAGTGCACGCACCACGCAAAGTCCAGCGCGCACACGGGCAGCCCGCACCCGAACATGTCCACGATCTTCATCGGGAGGTCGAGCGCCGACGAGCTCGCGTGCAGCGACACGCCCAGGTCCGCCGAGCCTGCACCCGCGCACCCTCCATCAACACTCCCCCCTCTCAATCCGCAAGCCAAGCAAGACGCACCGAGGAGCACCGGGTAATCCTCCGCCTCGAGCCACAGGCTCACGCACCGCACATACCTCCACCCCTCGCCCCCCTCCGCGTCCTGGAGCCGCGCGACCTCGCGCATGTACCGGTCGCGCAGCGGGCCCTTGCCGGTGACCACCACCAGCACTTTCGGCAACGCGCCCCCTCCCCCACCACCACCTTCCCGCGCCCGCGCGCGCCGCTCGTACCCCCCCAGCGCACCGAGCAACACGCTAAAGTCCTCGTCGGGCGTCCAGGACGTGCTCGACACGAGCAGCGCGGGGCGGTCGGCGCGGCGCGCGGGCATGTTCAGCGTGGGCGAGGAGGGGGAGGGGGTGGGGGTGACGTGCGTGAAGGGCGTGGAATAGGGCGGGGTGCTGGGCGGGAGGAAGGAGAGGAGGGAAGGGGTGGAGAGGGCGGGGAGAAGGCGGAGGAAGAGCTGGTGGGTGGGGGTTAGCGGGTGGGAGGTGAGGTGAAGGGAGGGAGAAGGGAAAGTACCTCGTGCGACTCGGACTCGGACGCGCGGTGGAAGTGCGCCGGGGGGCGGTCGTGCAGGACCGCTTTGTGCCCGCTGCATCCCGGTCGGTCAGCGCATGCCCGGGGAACAAAAAGGGAACGCGCCTACACGAGCTGCCACTCCTCCGCGAGGTAGTCGTGCATCGCGCGCGTGACGAACAGGTGCGCGTACGCCGCGCGGCCGAACGCCGCCTCGAACCTTCGCATCCGACGTCAGATATCAGCGCGCGCGAGTCACACACGCAAGAGAGAAACCCGCGCACACTTTCGCTGCGCGGACGAGCGGGTGGCGCGCGCCGAGGCGCAGCGCGAGGATGCTGTACCCGAGGTTGTGCCAGTCGACGATGAGCTTGCTCCCGCGCCAGCGCGCGACGAGCTGCGCGAGCGCGAGCGTCGGGATGCTCGGCGGGTTCTAGTTCGTCGACGCGGGTTCGGATGGCGATTCGATATCACGAAGGACTGGGCAGGCGTACCTGCACTAGGATGAACTCGGGCGCGTGCGGCACGCGCAAGAGGAGCGTGTGGAGGAGCGTGATGATTTGGTGGGTGATTCTGAGCGGCGCGGAGAGGAGGAAGGGGAGGCGCGTGAGTAAGCGCGGCGGGGAGGAGAGGTAGGTGAGGTGGATGTGCGGGAGGGAGAGGAGCGAGGGGATGGGCTTGGATCCTGGGTGGTGTGATTAGCTGATAGCATGAGTTTGGTATTTGTGAGGATTGATGCAGGCGCCGTAAGCAGACACGTCCGACTTGCGTGATAGATGCGGCCGACTCCCTCTTGACTCATCCTCCCTGAACGGTGCCATTACAAGTACAGATTTTCTATGTCCATGCTCGAGAGCCTTGCTCATAGCCCAGTCTCCAATGACCCGTGCTCATGGGCATCCACGGACCGGCAGCGTCAAGAGGGAATCGACCTGTAGTGCACCTCGTGCGCAACACAAAAGAGCTCGCGACGGTCTTCTCAACAGAACGCATACAAACGCTCTCACAAAACCCCAACGCACCTCTGTACCCAATCAAATGCGTCTCGAACCCGTGCTTCGCAAAGCTCTCAGCGTGGTACATCATCCGCGGACTCCTCCCGACGTCGCCCAGCACGACGATCGCGACCGAGCGCAGCATCGGCTGGGGCCTGTCATGCCTGAGCAGCCGCCAGACGACGTAGACGAAGAGCAGCGTCGCGAGCAGTTGCGGCAATGGCCCGTGCAGGCTGTCCGACATGTTTGCCTAGACGTTGTAAAAACAACTGACCCCTCCGGTGGTGTAAGCCTTGGCCAGCAGTCGTTGCCAAGTGCGTCGCGATCAAGATCTCGCAACTTGAATGCCACGGTGGCGGTGCGCATGACTAAGCTAACGTGCCCTGCCCGATTCGGAGGGTGCTTACAATCCCGAACGCTCTCATTTCACGTCCGCCATGGCCTCTGCACGACTTTCTTCGCTCAGGAGTTTCATCAAGTCGCCTGCGGCATGCAGGAGGGTGGTTTTGGAGAGTAGATTGGGGGCGCGGAGTATCTCGTCGACGCCGAGACGCGCGGCGAGCTTGTACCATGGCGCGACGCTCGCTACTTCGTCGGCCTCGCGGCTCTCGAGGACAGACCCGAGCATGTCGGGCAGAACATCCCAAAGTGCGCGAACTGTATCTTTTCAGAACCTCAGAACCACGTAACTAACCGCGCACAGCCCGCTCGATGTTCATCCAGACCGAATCCACGCCGAACGACGACTCGCTCAAATTCATCCCCGGCGTGCCCGTCATGGACGACGGCACCGCCGAGTTCCTCGACACGCGCTCCGCGCTCGCCTCCCCTCTGGCTCTCCGCCTCATGGGCATCGACGGCGTCCGCGCGGTCTTCTACGGCCCCGACTTCGTCACCGTGTCCAAGGACAGCGAGACGAGCTGGGCGGTGATCAAGCCCGAGGTCTACTCCACGCTCATGGAGCACTTCTCCTCCGGCCAGCCGCTCTTCCGCTCGGAGGAGGAAAGGGCGAGCGCGGGCCCGCAGGACACGGCGATTCTGGATAGCGACTCGGAGACGGTGGCGATGATCAAGGAGCTGCTCGCGACGCGCGTGAGGCCGGCGATTATGGAGGACGGGGGGGATATTGAGTATCGGGGGTTCACGGAGGAGGGGATCGTGAAGCTGAAGCTGAAGGGGAGCTGCAGGGGGTGCGAGTCGAGTGCTGTCACGCTCAAGACGGGGATCGAGCGGATGCTCATGCATTATATCCCCGAGGTCAAGGGTGTTGAGCAGGTGCGTCGTCAAGCGTCGCAGTCGATTTCACAGAGCTCATTTTTGCATGCTTAGGTGCTGGACCAGGAAGAGGCTATTGCCCTCGACGAGTTCCAGAAGCTGGAACAGCGTTTAGCTAAAGATAGTCCACGGAAGGACTCAGAGTGAGATTGCCCCCTTTATCCCCATATTCATGAAACTGACACCATGCGTGCAGTATGGCCCATTACATGTCGCCTTGATGTCCAAGTCCTGCCTTCGATGCACTGATGCTTTTGTAGCCTTAGAGGGATGCCCTGTTCACAAATTAATACATAACTAATGCATAGTTCCAAATCGCAGTGCTCTTGTTGTACTGTACGCTTTGAGTGGTTGCTCGACCTCGTCAAAGGTCCCGCGATAACCGACATCGACTGGACACGTACGGCCGACTACCAACGAACTCCGCGAACTACTTGTGTATACGTAGGATACTCTCATATGTCACGACATCTCACTCGAACTCGAAATTTCGATGATTCCAAGACAGCATTGCTCGCCTATCCACTGGATATCGAGGAGACGTCGTTCACAAGTGTAATTACCGTCTGTCTTATTAGGAGGTGAGACAGTTGAACTGAAGCCAAGTAAATAGGATGCCGATTGAGCGGCGGCGGACGACCAATCTTCCCGTCTCTCTTTTGACAACGACGCAGCCATGATGAAGGTCTGTCGTACTCACCTTATTGTGTTTGGGTAACTACATATAGTCGGGGCCGAATCACGGCGGAATCCTACCCACCCAGTGGTGCCCTTCCTGTCTTTGCCACAATTTGAATCACGATGCCACATTTCCAGCCACCGCGGGATCTGCCGTCCACACACCCGGGTACAACCGGCCCGAGCTTCTCCACCGACGCAGGGACTTGCGCTCTTCATGCATTCGTAACAAAATGCGATTGCGTACGCACTTGATCTCGAAGTTTCGATCGTTCTTATGACCTACGTCCCAGGATGTGTAAGACAGAAAGTCCCAAGGGGCCAACGGCCAGAAAACGCGCGACGGCAACCCCCTAAAGTGAACAGGACCCCGAAAGCATCACATAAGAGAGAGGACCACCTTGATAAGGCAATTTGTGGCGGCTCCTCTTCTGCCTGGGTTTATGTTTTGTGTGGTCGATTGTCGGGAATCAACAAGCCTCTGTCATCCATGTACACATAGGTAATAGCTTATAACTACTTATATATATATCTTTGATCCCTAAGATCACATTGTTCAGTGCTGAAAGATCCCAAACACTTCTCAGTCGATGATATTTCTGCACTGACTCAGACATACAGGAACACCTCTCTACTTCCTGATGCATAAGACTGGTGACAAACAGT